ATTAGCTGTAGCAATCTTTCTAGGAGTCTTTTTTTTTTTTTTTCTTTTTTTTTTTTCCCGTTTGCCTCATTTCTGCCAGCATCCATGTGAGTTATAAAAAACGTTTGGTTTTTTTGGTTTTTTTTTTGAAAGTGGTGTATCTTTGTTTGGTGAGCAGTGGGATTTGGTGGAGCTTACTTTGTACTTTCATAGGTATCCACATAGATCCCAGATTTGTTCCATAGGTGCTGGCTTCAGTAGTTGTTGAAAACAGGGGAGACCAGGGCTGTGCCTGAGCATGGAGGTGGTGGAGCAAGAGTGCTGAAGTGCTGTTAAGGGAGGTCCGAGGAAAGGAACTTTGCCTCAATTCTATCTCATATTGCTTAGTGTCCTCCATCTCACCTTTCAGGACTGCAGAAGGCAAGGACTGCTCACAGAAGATAGCAAAATAACACTTTTTTTTTTCCTTTTTAAAATATTGGCAGAAATATAAATAATGGATAGAAACAGCATGTATTACAGATACTTTTGTGTGACTCTCTGCTTCTTCAACTGAGATGTGAGCATGTACATTTTAGTAATGCTTAGCAGTAAGCTGTTTTGAAAACCTGCTAATCTTTTCCACCTCCTTTCCCAGTTTGTCAAAACTATCACAATAAATATGTAATGTATTAAAGAATGCTAATTTTATAGTTAAAATTCAGGGCTAGAATTCAAGTAGTGTTTCCATTACTTCTGCTGTGGAATTCTCCCATGGATTTACGGTTAGTTGCTAAATCTCTTTGCCTCAATTTTATTAATCTGCAGATGAGAGTGGGCCAGGCTTTTACATTTTCAGAAGAATGTTCTGCTTCATTCTCAGGGAGGCATGTGAACTACGCTGCATTATGAACAAAATAACTCCTTTTCTTGAAAGAAATGATGATCTAAACCCTGAATTACTGTTTTTACTGTCCTAATAGGCAGCTTCACCTGAGGTAGGAATGCTGTTTTCACATGTGTGGAATAATGGATTCCTACCTTCCTTCATGCAATTTTGCTTCAAATTTCTTATATCATTTCTTCTAATTGCTGCTCTGTGACACTAACTGAGCAGTAGATTTGAAATGTTAATATTACAAATTGGAAGATTTTTTTTTTCCTTGGTGTTAGTTAAAGAGGTAGAAAGAAACTGTTGCTGTGGATTATTTGAGGGAATTTTAATAATTAGAATTGCATGAGAGCTGTCATCTGTTCCATCCCTTCTCAAGTGCTGGAGCTGTTCAGTAGCTTTAGATTTCACACTTGTCTTACATATCTGGCTTATTCCAGCAAGAGGATGTGGGGTTAACATTATAGAGTCCAATTTTGCAGTCCTGCATGTGCCTTGTGAGGTTTTTTTTTTACTTCTACAAGCAGGAATTGGCTCTGGTGTAAAATCTAATCTTTCATATCCATTTCATGGAAGTAAACTTGGTTGACTCCAGTGGATCTACTTGTGCAAATTTGCACTGAATGGCGGTAATGCATCTTAAGGTTGTGGGTTTGGAAGTATTTGGGTTTGCATTTCTCTTAAATAGATAGGATACAAAGTTTATAGGTGCCAGATTCTCACAGGAATTGTTTTGGACAATAGGTTGGTAATGTTTTGAAAGAGCAGTTTCTGAAGGTTTGAAAGTTCTTTGCATACTGCATGAATGTAGCCAACTATAGCCTTTGCTAGCTTGACAAAATAACAAGAACTCTTGTGGCCTTTGAAAACTGTGTTTAGTTGTTAACATTGCTATGGTAAAGGATGTTTATGATCTCTGGTCTTTGGTTATTGAGGACACCAGAATGGTTTCTGGATATAAATAAGAGACTTGGGAAAGAATGCCATGCAATGCATCAAACTCTGGAAACTTGAGCAGTTGATATTTTTGTAGAAGAGCAGCATGAAACAAATGCTTTATTTTGTTTGTGCAAATGAGAAGACCATTGTGATGCAAAACAGTATCCTGAAAAGGCAAATGTGCTTTTTTTCTGTTGTAAATATCCCAGCTAAATAGTGCAGTAATTGCAAGCAGAGCTTGGCACTTTTTCTCTCTATTCTTTTCATTGATATATTTTAACAAGTTCTCATGAGACTATTAAAACATCTTAGTTTTTGGAACATGTGGTCTAGTGGGGATAACTTGGTCTGCAGATGCAGTGAGGTTGGCAACTAGCTTTTACATGTCTTTTCATTTCCCTCTAGATCCTCTGACCCAGCATAACCTTTGGTCTCCCTCTGAAGGCTGGGGTGAAGGAAGCATGAGCAGGTGACTGATGATCACTGTCAATACAGCCTGCAGACAATATGTGAATTACTTTAGCAGTCTCCCACTGCCCCCCTCCTCTCTTAAATCAACAAATGCAAATAGCTGCCTCCTCATTTGCTGCTATCTCAGGGAGGCTGCCCAGGCAGCATGGGCTTTGTTGTAGTCCTGCGTGCTGAAAAAAGCAGCTTCAGCTTTAGTTAGAAGAAAAAATATCAAATGGGACCTGACCCCCCCCCCAGTGGTTAATGCTGCTAATATTTGGTCCTTTGGCGTATGCAGGTAGGAAGATGCTGTACTAAGAATACTTGCTATGTGTATTTCAGGAGGGCGGCCTGAAGTGGTTAAACTGTTTGCATTGTTACTCTTTGTGTGTAAATATCCTTCAGGAGGGGAGTAGGGATTACTCAGGATATCAAAACTCATACCTGTTGACATTGTAATTCGTTCTGTATTTAATGTATGCTGTATTTACTATGAAGGAATAGAAACACACTTGCTAGATTTCAGCAGAGGCACAAAGAATTTGCGAACCAACAATTACAAGTTCACAATGGTTTAACACCTAGTTGTGTAGCATGAATAAATAAAAACAGCTGTATTTTGCATTCCTGTAAACATAACACATGCAATATGTAGCACTGTGTGGTACAGCATGTAGTCGATACTGCTCTGCTCTTCCAGAAGTACTGGTTAATGCAAGTTGTCACTCAGCAATCAGAGACATGAGAGTAGTGCTTTGCCAGCAGTTGAATAAAATTCTCTTCAGCTTATTTTAAACTATCATTGCCTATGAAAATAAGTTTTGGTATAGGAAAGTGATTACATTCCACGTTGAGAAGGTGGTTCTTCTCAGGTACGTAGGGATGTAATGTCTGTATTTAATGTATTAGGATTGCAACCAATCATAGTGAAAAAAATTCTTCTGAACTGCCATTTAGGAGTATTGGATTACTAATCGAATCAGACAAATCACAATGTTTGTGAACAGTCCTACAGCTTTAAAAACGGACGTCAGTACAGCTTGTGTTTCATAAGAGTCTGCTTATAGTATGTAATTCATTCTTAATGTTATATTTGCTACTGCAAATACTTTGTAACAGTTAACTTGAATGAAAATTCAGAGCCAAAATAACAGTTGCAAAGCTACATAGTGAAATGTTCAGGTGACTGTCAGTCAAATAGCTACATGTTAAAACTGTTGCTAAATTGCTAAGTATATTCTCCAGATCTCATTTCAGATGTATCTTTGATTATATTTGCTTACCAGACAGTATCAATTACACTAATATTGTAAAGGAAGAATTACTATAAATTCATGAAAACCCAAGAAATCAACTTTTAGAACCCCCATATGTTCCAATTTTGGACTGCAGAAGTCCTTTGGATCTGGCACTGGTAACTCACACAAAGCCCTCTTGAACCCTAACTTGTAGTCCTTCTGCATCATGTCACATTAAGCTCATGGTAGTTTATAGTTAGTGTGGATCATGGAGTGTATCCTGTATCAGCAAGCTGCAAAAAGCAAGTGTTAAAGACAGTATGATTCTGGAAAACCGACTAAGTTTAATGCCAAGACTTCAAATGATTTCATAGATGCTGTATTTTCTCTTCTTCCTTTCCCATGCTTCTCATGACAAGGGTGGTTTATCATCACAAAAATTCCCATTTTCATCCTCTTCTTCCCTCTCCTTTAGCTGCTTCTGCATCTGCCTGTCCATCATCACACAGTCCAAGAAACAGAACGTAGTTCTTTGTGGACTTGGTCATTGCTTTGTGTTGGCCACAAGGAGTGTGGTATGGGATGTCTTCTCACTGAGGATATCTTCCATTTGACATCCTCCTCTTGTTTTAATCAGTCTGTTGCTAGGGAATCATTACAGTAAAATCATCATTAGTGCTTTAGAGAAGGGAGATGGGTGGAAATGATAGCAGACTAAGAAGTTTTGTTCCATGAAATCTGATTACAATTTGCAGCTTCTCATCAGATTATAATGCAGACGCATCTTGTATGTAGTGGATCCGATTTCTATTGGGATGGAAGAATCAACAGAGAATGTTAAGATGAAATAAAAATGACATTTTATTTTGGCTTCCATAACTAAAACATAATAAAAACAAAAAAAATCAAATCTGTTCCAAGTATAAAAATCCGAGTAGTTATGTGAACTTTCTAAACCGACGTCTCAGACAAATACTGATGAACGATACTTTGCCTGTCATCAATTTCTTTTCTTAATTGGATGACTTCTTCACTGCTCAGGATTGGTTTGTAGCTTGCTAGAAGTAGTTGGCATATCTTGTAATTGTGGGAACTGCTCTGAAAGGAGAGTGGAAGTATTATGGGCTGTATACCTTGTGAAGTATTATGAAGGCCTTCTTGATGAATGGTACTTTATCTTGTGATGATGAAAATCATGGGAAGCACATATAAGGTGAGTGAATTAAATCTTTTTTATTTTTATTTGAATGGTTTCTTTTCTTCTTTTTTTTTTTTTTTTTTTTTCCTCCTTAGGAAGGTCCCTTTAAAATAATGGGTATAAAGAATTCTCTCTTTGGCTTTAATGAAATTACGTAGCTTCATGCCAACCACTGGGGTTCAAAATATCCAAATATATTTACTTTACAATGTAAATTGTGCACTACACTTTTTTTTTTTTTTTAAAGCCTTTATTAGAAAAGTTGCTTTCCATCGTTCATTTTGAGGTTTTCCCCCCCTTCCCTTTTGTTTTTGTTTTTCCTCAGTTTCCATTACAAAGAGCAGTGCAAAAATCCAATCTTCCCCTTCCAAAGTGACCCGGCGTTCAATGCAGTCTCCACAGAAATCTGCTCCAGTACCAGCGCAGCGGGGCAGGAAACCAGGTCGGGGCAAACCCCCTGGACAGTCTACAGTTCCCAAGAAGGGCAGGTCTCCTAAAAATATTCCCCTGACCAAAAGCACCTCTCATACTGAGAATCTTAAAACAAGGAAAAAAAGTTTAAAACCTGGAAAAAAGGTTAGTCCTTATCTACTATTTTACTTTATATTGCAAAATTTTGTAGTGAGATTATTATTTTTTTTTTCATTAATTTTCTGGCTTCTCTTCAGCCTTCAGGGCTTTACTGTGTTCGGAAGTTGATTAAGACAAAACGTCTAGAATAGCTATTCTAGAATATCTCAGGATAAACTTCTGGGATTTTCTTATTCCAGTATGGGAGTACTGATTTAGATTAATTCATGGATGTGTTGTTGGTATTGAAAAATACTATTTTGGAATAGCCATTTCCAGTAACATCCCAAGAACCACGGGGAAGTCTTGAGGCTTTTTAGTCTGAGTTATTTTACTACTGTAGCATACGCATGTTTTTCATTTTTTTTCTCTCATGTTGAACAAGAAAAAAAGATTAGGAACAGTGAGGATTTTGGTGAAAAGTTTAGGCATTTTAAGCATGCAGCGGGATTTGCCAAGTTAATCTCTTGAATATCCCATCATCCTGGAGATCCTGCATGAACCAGGACACTTCCTTTCAGGCAGTGCATCAATGCATTTCCTCAGGTGTGAGCCTGAAAGGTATGATGCCTTGCTCCCTTCAGAGCTGAGTCCAAGACATGGGCAGTGGTCAGCCACCCACACATACTCTCATTTCCAAAAGTTGAAGTTTTGCTTTTTCCTTTCCTCCAGCCTGGGTTACTGTGGGCTAGTAAGAAATTGCTGGTGGTGCATGGGAAGGGATGAAGTAATGGCATGAGTATGACTTTGCCCTTCAGTGTGAAGCACTAGTGAAGTGTGGTATTAGAGCGCACCTAAAAGGCTTTAGGATAAAACTGGAGGTGATTACTTTGGTTGCAACGTTGGCTGCAGGGCAAGGAACAGTTCTGCAGATTGAAAGTAGAAACCCTGCTGTCTTCTGCCACCTGTCCCTCCCATTTAGGCATGCAGACCAGTAGGCTGCTGGGGCACCTGGGCTCCAGCTTTATCTCCTTCTTGTTTCCACACAGAGGTGCAGGTTGCAGAGGAGAAAGCTGCTCCCACACAGACTGAGCTAGTGGGTTGGCTGTTTGCCATAAGCCTAAAGGGCTTTAAAGGAGATAACTGAACACATTATCTTATATTTAGGAGATACTCGGGTATGGCAGGATGTGCACTTTGTGTAGGGGTTTTGTGCTCCTCTGTCTCTTGGAAAAAAAAAAAAAAAAAAAAAAAGTTGGAAGATAGTTGCAGGCATCTCACCTTTAAAGAGGCTTCTGAGCTTCAAATGCTGGGTAATGGGAAGTGTCTTCTTGGAGCCCTGCACTTGGCACCTGGTCTGTGTGAAGTATAGGGCTTTGCTTGGGATTGGAAGTTACTTTGAGCAGTTCTTGCGATCAGAAAGGGATCTGAGAAAACTTCACGTGCATCTGATTTCCTCTGGTGGGACCAGTCAACTAAGCATTAGACTTTGTAGTATCTTGAATTTGAGGCACCTATCTAACATGGCACGTTACTATTGTAACTTTTGCACTGAGAACTTAACAACTGGGTTCCTTTAGAGAAGCCATGGAAAGTTTTTATTGCTACGGTATGTGGTAAGTATGTGGTAAGGTTGCCAAGACATTACACATATTTGCACTCTTCTTTGCAGTGTTTTACTTAATACTGTAAGAGTGGAGAGAGGAGAAATTACTAAATGGGAGTTCTGTATGTACGGGGTATATGTGATATAGAGTGACAGCTCAGTCCCAGTATGCACACAAATATAATATTAGTGATATGTGCTTAGATATTTGAATGCAGTTGTTTGTTTGTTTGTTTGTTTTAAGACAAATCCAAAATAACCCTCCACCTTTTCAGCCTGTGCAGTTGTTCTCCAGATGTGAACTGACTGTGCTAATTCAAAACCTGTGTATTTCGGGAGATCAGTCTGGTGCTTGATGAAGTAGAGATTTGTTTGACTTCTTAAATCTCACAGTGAAGAGGCAGGCTGGGACTCCTTGCCTTTTTAAGCTTGTTATTCTGCAATGTTTATCATTGTGCATGTATTAATTTTTATTGTACAGCTAGGAATGTTAAGCTGTTGTCATTTTCTCGCCTAAACGTTTCTTAAGCTTCTCCATGAGGATAAAAAGCATGTCAAGTCTTATTCCCCATTCCTACCCCCCAGTGTGCGCTGCTTTTTTTTTCTTTTTACTGTCATATTGAAAAAAATCTCTTTACATTTCTCCCGTCACCTTTGAAAGTACACTTTGCAGAGCAATGCAAAGAATTCCTTCCAGACCAACTGGTTTATATGCATCTCTTGAGAAAGGGCCTTGGTCTGACTGTAGTTTGCAGCCTTAGATGTGACCCCACGAAAGCAGCGTCAGTGAAGGGTGGTGAGGTGCCAGCCTGTGTGCTGAGCTCTATGCAGACACTCGGTGCTGGTGTGCCCTCCTAGCTGGCAGGTAGGTAAGGGTGAGTAGGGGCAAATGTGGTGAGCCCAGCTGGAAGCACGGCCTGCTTCCTGACACAGCCTGGCTGTTGGACTGTGGTGTGCTGCTCATCATTTTGGGATTACAGGTTACTCAGCTGAGCAAGCATAACAGGCTGTATTCCCAAAATATGCTCTTTCCTCATTCTGGAGATGGTAAGAAATGGCTGGCTAGCCTCACCACACTTAAGCATTCGTGTGGAGGGTAGACAATTCTTCTGGCTTACAGCTTAGTGTTTACATTTTGTTTTCATGCTACATTTCTCTTGTTCCCTCCTTTTTCCTCTCAACTCCACTGCTGGCATTTTGCAGCATGACAACAGACAACTGGTCCCCTGGGGAGTCCCTTCTGCATAGAGGCTTCAGGAATGCCAGGCTTCAGATCAAAAGCTCTAACTTCCTAACTGCATTGTTTTTCTCTGTGTTAAGGATGGAAACCTTTCTGTTTCCCAGTGTTAAGATGCATAGTCAGTCTCTGACAAGTAATACATCACTGCTTCAGTGTTTGACCCTTTCCACCTCGTCTCATTCACAGCAGTGCCAAACCTTGGCTGTCTCTCTCACGTTTGTGGTGATTCCATCCAGTACTGTGTTGTCAAATAATTTCTCTTTCCAAATCTATTTTCTCAGATCTATAAAGAGCACAGAAATTTTCTCTACCATGCCATAGACTTTAGAAGAAAAGAACTACAATTCTTAGTAGGTGTTGTGGAGAAGTTAGGCACTACTGTTCTTTGGAAGGTGATTTGCTTGCTATGTGATTTGTTAATGTACTATTTAGTAAATATCCTCCTTATCCATCCATTACACTTCTATTACATTGCACTTCTAAACTGAAGCTTTCCCTGACAGCTTGGCACATTTTTATCTTTGCTGTAGATCAGTGTTAGATATAAACTCTTTCCACATGAGTATCCGGGTCTCTGCCACCTTGACCACCTTGGCTAATCTCTTATATTCCTAATTTTTTTTTATTCAGGGTAGAAAATGAGGATGTAATATGTTCTTGTGCAAGAATAACTGGCGAAGGAAGAGGTGAAGAATTTTTTGCCAATTAATTGCTTCTTTTATTTCCATGTATTTTTATAACACATCGGAAGTGCCTTTCTAGCATACGCCTCTTTTCTAAGCCCCAGCCCAAACTAAATTGCAACATTTTCTTTTTTCTCAGCTGGGAGACACTGACTGATTTCTACATCCTTGTGCTACAAAATCTGTCTGTCTGGTATATAATAGGCTGCAAATAAGGTTGGTTTGGGAAAGAAGAAAGTTTTGCAAACTCAAGTGACTGAATTATAACTATATTAGTATATTTGATACCTTGCATAGAGCACCAGTTTCTGAAAGTGTTATGTAAGAATTTCAACCTCTTTGAAACAAGCTGGGAGAAAATCTAGATGCTCTGTAAAGTTGACAGCTAAATTTGAATCAGAATTCAAATGACAATGACAATATATGACAATGTGTGCACAGCCCAAATAATTTATTGGAATTGTGATAAACCCAGGCGATGGAAAGAGTGTATGTGGGAAAGTAATCCAAATCTTCTGTGATTCCTAAAATTTAGAAGGACCGTGAATTGATTATATATAGCTCATTGCTCTCCTGCTCCTTTTCAACCATAATTGAGTTCCTTTTCAACCATAAGTGGGCTCCTTTTCAAGTCATTTGTCTTCCCCTGCGTTACTGAAGTAGCTGTAAACGCAGGCAGTTCCTGATCATCCCTTCCCAGACTTCATCATCTTTGCAATGTAGTACTTCTGTAATAAGGAACTACATGCACTCAATAGTATGATAAATGATAGTGGAAAGGTTTGGCATACTACTTAAAAAACATTAAATACTTTGGTATTTTTTTCTCAAAACAGAAAAAAGTCTTACCAGAGCAACTGACTCCTGCACCACCTTCTCCTCTTTCTTCTCCTGATGGGGACAGTGGCACTACACAGATGCTGAAAGATGGAATTAGTTTGTCTGGTGCAGCTGCAGCAGTTATATCCACAGGTAAAAGAAAAAAATAATGACATTTTTAGTGTGAAATGACTTCAATTTCAAGAAAACTAGTCGTGTCTTCTTATGGAAATGTGCTGCAAACTTACTCCTGTAAATCATTACTCACCTACTACGTTTCTTTAAAAAGATGTTTGTAGGTGCCAGTGTTACTTTGTAGAACTGGTATTTTGATGCCTGCATTATAACAAGAAGTGCTGGAGCCCGGAGACTTTGAACATATCTGCTAAACCTGTCAGTTTCGCTCTGTCTGAAGGAGGAAACTGTACAATTGTCTGTCTCATTCTCTGATGTATGAAATGGGATTAGATGTAGCTAAAAGCTCATATGATATTTTGCTTTCATGCACACTTGACTTTAATACCACAAAATGGAGATTGTCTCTCTTCAGTGTTCTATTAAAAAAGCAAGTCCATTTAAACCAAGTAAAAGCAATCAAGGGAAATATCTCCCTTACTTTTAAACAAGCAAAGTTAAGAGAAAATGTAATGAAATGTATCTTAAAAAGCGTTGGCAAAACAAAAATAAGCTACTTAACGAGCTAGCTTGTTGAGGGGCTTGTAACTCTGTAATGAGACACTTTGTAGGTTGTCAACTGAAATCTCAGATCTTTCTAAAAAAGCCCATAACTTATGTTAATGCTGTTTGGGATACTTTTGACATTTAAAAACTGTTTTTACAATAGAAGTTGTCAGGCTCTTCTCCATCCCAAATTCAATGATGGATGAGGGGAAAATACCTATGTGTTTCCTAGGAAAATAAACCTTTCAGGAGTCAGCTGTTACTGAAGTCAGACGAAGATGTCATGAAAGCTCTTTTTGCTGATGTGTATCTTTGTTTATTCATACAAGTGGCTTCCTCCAATCTGCAGACATCAGAGACTAAGCAGATAGGCATGAAGATACAAGATCACTGAAGCACTTCATAGAAACGTTTCATTTTTAAAATCTATGTTTCTAACTAAGCCAGAATGGTACTACAGCTGAGAAAATGCAGCAGTCTTTTCTATTACATATCACTTCGATTGTCTGCTTAATCACAAAAGATTTAAGCTATACTAATGTCTTCCTGCGTTCCTGGTCATGTGACAGTCAAGAACAAAAAGAAGAAAGAAAAACCCTTCAATTACAGCTTTTCTCCATATTTTTCTGCCTTGTTGTTCCTTTTGAAAGGCAATTTTTCATTGTCTCTGTAAAAAGTGCTTTCAATAGTCCTATTTGATTACTTTCATGATAAGCTTTAAACCACTTTGCACAGTTTCCAGGTAAGTATTGTTCTTTTGTTTAGCAGCGAAAGCCAGGCTGTGGTGTGGAAATCATACTTGGGTGGTTGCTGAAGATAGCAGGTACTGACCATTGTGCATAGACATTGTTAATGCTGTGTGGGTGCTTCAGAATGGGCACCCATAGCAGGCCTATACTATAGGGTTTGGTTTGTTGTATCTTCTCAAATATGAGAAAAAATAGGGCAGCAAGGACAGCTTTTAAGAATAGATTTTTTTGGTAGTTTAGAGCATGTACTGGTAGTTCTTGCTTTCCTGGGACAACTATGTGAGTAGAGATGAGTTGAAAGAAGAATGCAGTGTGATGGCTTTGTACGTTAGCAGGGTACAGAAAGGCTTTAGAGGTCAGATGGAAGTGAATTTGGGACTTCAGAAACAATGCAATTGTAGCACGTGAAATGTGTCTCTATTCTGTGTGCACTGGGTACAAAGAAAGTAGAAATACTTTGGCTTGTTCTTTTTCAGTGTGTGTTTATGTCAACAAGCATGGGAATTCTGGGCCTCACCTGGATAAGAAGAAGGTTCAGCAGCTTCCAGATCACTTTGGACCAGGTCCTGTCAACGTGGTACTTCAACAGGCTGTACAAGCTTGTGTGGATTGTGCCTATCAATCCAAAACAGTCTTTGGATTTCTGAAATCTGGCCATCATGGAGGGGAAATGATAACTGGTATGTGAAGATGTTTCTAATTTTTTTTGTTTCTTCACTTGTTTCTGAACCTAGAGTAGGGAGAAAGAACTGAACTAACTGCAATGAGATTCTATCACTTTTGTAACTCCTTAAGCATAGTCAAGAATGTATGTTTATGAACTACTTTATTAAGAGAGTCCTGGGGGAGCATGCTTTGTATCAGTCAGAGTCCAGGATTTTCTGAACAGTTCTTCAATCAGAATCTAGCAATAGCGAAGTTGAATTACGTGTACACTGTACAGTTAGGTGGTTGGTAATAAGTAGAGCTTGTGCACCAACAGCTGCAGCTATACATTTGTCAAGTAAGCTCAGTATGAGTGGAGTATCAGCTTTATTAATTCAAATCATTCTCATAATCTTTTCCTACATAATGTTTGTGTTCTTAATACCTTACCCAAGTGAGTGAAAAGTTTCCAGCTAATCTGTTTAGCTTCCAGGCAAGTGATTCCACATGTTAAATTTGCTGCTTCCTCCTTTCCCCCGTTCCCCGGTCTCTTAGGTCAGTGTTCATTCTCCTGTGTCCTCTACTAAGGAATAGGTTTGGTTCTGCTACATATTAATGCTATGTCTACAAATAAATTATCCTTACATCTCAAACTGAGTAGCTGCTGCTTGACATTTTTTTTTCCTTCTAGGCTAGAAAGTACTTTGTATGGCAGTTAGCACATCAATTCATAATTCTATCACTGGCAGTAAAAAGACTTGGTGTAACTTTAATCTCCTTACATTATCACCAGGTGTGAAAGATGATTAGTGGAATACAGGTTTAATTAAATCCTCGTAAAAGACTTTGCTATCTAACAGTATCTACAACCCAGTACCCTGACTCGCATATAGCAGAATTTCAGTAGTCCTTGCTTATGTGTCTGCATGAGTTTGTTCGTACGATAGATGCTTCTTTTCTACTTTGCAATAAAAGTTTATTGGAACTGTGTAAGCTTGGGTGTGAAACTTGTATTACTTTATTTTTTGCAAAACGTATGAAATTTTATTATATTATTAATATAATAATATAATTGTGCCTCATTCCAAAAAGTCATTTTTTAATGGAACAAAATACACTCAGATGTGCTTTGCCAGTATTCTGATTGTTATTGTTCTTGAAGAAGGACTAAACTGTAGGCCAGTGGTGAATCTGGGCTATGATGGAATAGTTGAAAGTAATTATTTTACAAAGCAGAAAAAAAAAAAAAAAAAAATCTAGTTCTGATATATTTTCATTCAAAAATCCTGTAGGAACAGGAATTACTATTGTAATTACTGCTAGATTCAAAGTAGCCAGCTCAGTGGTCCTGAGCTCAAGAAGCCTGGCTCTGTAGGCTGCTAATGAAGCAGAGTGCTGGAGCACTCTCAGGTGCATTTTCTGTTTTTTAGTTCTTGTCTGCTCATCAGCTTGTTAGATAGGTTGCTAGAGGCTCACTGAGTGATCAGTCAAATCTTGAGTCATTTTATTAAAAAAAAAAATTGTCGGATATATTTTGAGAAGAACAGAATGTGGCTTAGGTTAATGTAATACATTAAAACTCTTTGAACGGGTAGATAACAGCAGGACAGGGGGAAATAGTTTTAAGTTGAGGAAGGGAAGATTTAGGCTGGATATCAGGGGAAACTTCTTTACAGAGGGAGTGGTGAGGTGCTGGAACAGGCTGCCCAGAGAGGTTGTGGATGCCCCGTCCCTGGAGGTGTTCAAGGCCAGGTTGGCTGGGGCCCTGGGCAGCCTGGTCTGGTATGAAATGGGGAGGTTGGTGGCCCTGCATGTGGTGGGGGGTTGGAGATCCATGATCCTTGAGGTCCCTTCCAACCCTGGCCGTTCTGTGATTCTATGAAAACCAACTGTGCAGTTGGATAGGAAGGTAGGCTACATACAGTAGAATAAAATGAGAAACTGCAGAATGAAATTGTGAGAATATTTTCTCGTAGAGTTTTTGCTTGAAAGTTTTGTGTTTGTTTTTTTTTTTTTTTTTTTTTTGTATAGTTGGTTTTTCTTTAAGACTGGCAAGAAAAACAATTGTCTGCATCAGAGATTAAGGAAAGAAATCTAAATCTTTTGTGATGAACTTTCATGGCAAGTATTGTATTTGGTATAGTAGAAAACTGCATGCTGGGACTTGGATGAAATAATCTTGCTACAATATGTGTGAATAATTAGTGGGTTCTTTTGGTTCAGCTGCCAGAGAAAATAATTGTTTTGAATGGAGTTGAATTTAGGATTTTTTTCTTACTCAAAACAAAAGCACAAACCGTTTTAATTTTGCTTGATGCATAAGGTTTCAATTCAAGCAAATGTAACCAAAGGGAAATTAAAGGCTTGATTAGCAAGCCCACTCATGGTGGTGGTGTCAGCCCCTCTTTTCTGCTTGTAGCTCTGAGTCTGTGTCATTTAGTGGGATGAAACAGTGAGGTTCAGATAAATCTTCTCAAGCAGAGAATTAAATCAGTCTCTTGGGTGATTTTCTTCACTATCAGACAGACGCATTTGTCTGATAGTTTAGCTCTCAGCCTTTCTCCTGGCTCGAGCTTGTTGTTTGAAACATACCTACACAATGAAAAGTAAAGAAATGAGAATGTCTCTTCATCCCAAGGGCTGGGATTGCACAAACAAGCTCAATTCCCTGTTTATTTGTCATTAGAGGTTGAGGTTGTTGCACCTCAGAAGTACTCCTTTTTATTTTCAGCCCTAGCATTTATCTTGGAAGTAAGAAGCTTTTGTTGTCCCCAGGCAGAGCAGAGAGTTGTTGAGCCTGTAGATCTGGATCCCACTCCTTTGCTTGGAGTTCCTATGGTTGCCCTCAGACATTTGGAGTACAAGAGAGCTGTGTTTGCACTGAATCTTTTTTTTTTTTTTTTTTTTTTTGTGGATTTTTCTCATGGTATTTCTTGGGGAATTCAGATAGCCTCAGATGTTTCTTGCTTTATCCTCCTGACAACTCTAAGATAATATTATTCTTTTCAATGCTTCTTTTCAAAATTAAGATGTGAATGAGAAATTAAGATGTGGAGAACAAGTAATTTCCCTTGGGCCATGTAAGACTACCTGTGAGGCTACTATGAAGTTATTTGAATGTTTGCTGCAGCTGATAGTGCTACCTTGCAGTAAATATCAGGAGATCAGGCTCTGCTGGGTCTCATAGCCCATTTGCTCTCCAGAACTGGTTGAGCTCCTAGCAGAAATATGCCTCCCAAGACCTCTTCCCCAAACAGGAGGTAGAGAGCCTTGTGTCTGAGCCACATGTGAATCATTAGGTTTTCATTTAAACATTGGAGACAGGAAAAAAGGTGAATGGGCCGTGGAAACCCGTGGGTCCAGGATTTGTCCCTGTAGTGCTGACTCTTAAACTTTAGGCACCTGCATTGGGTCACTACACAATGAAAGCAAATGAGAGGTAGTGTGTTATTGTTGATGCTAGCCCGTGCACTTGCATTAACCCTAATCATAGGCTCACTTAACAGTATAAGTCAGTCGTGCCTTTGATTTCCTAAGGAAGCATAAAATATGCTAGTGCTAGGGCGTTTTCTTTGTTTTTGTATATAATATCTGTCTTCTTCTGTAACACAATATGGATATGCTCCTTATTTCAGACTTGTGAATAAAGGCTTTCTTGTAATTTTTGTGGGTTTTTTTTTGTTGTTGTTTTTGTTGTTGTTGTTTGAAAATGCATCTGCCACTAACCAAATGTGATCCTTTAAAGCTCTGCTTAGCGTTTGGAATCTCAAAAACAGAAAGCTGCTGAGAAGACAAATTGATGCATAAACCTGATGTTCACACTGATTCTTTCCAACCCTAAGCATAATTTACAAGTTCGTTCCTGTTCTGTTGTAGTGTCTTTCTAATTAGAAATAACCAAAAGATTCAGCTAACATAATTGTAATTATTTACCTACATACTGGTGGCGTTTGCAATAGAAGTTTTTTCAGAATCTCAATAAGTATCACAAAAAGGGGAAATTATCATTAACTACATCATTCTAAGTATTTAGGGAGCAAGGAAAGAGGTCAGCAAGTAAAAGATGTTGGCCCATGTTCAGTCTCTTTGTAATCACTCATTCAAGTCCATTCTTGTGGTATCTCTGCCACCTAGATTTTTTAGAATTAAGTTGCAGCTTCATCACTGTAGCGTTGACAGCAGGATGGATTTCTCTAATGGTAAAATATCAAATGACAAAATGAGTTTCGGTAGTCAGAATTTCAGTGGTGATGCATGCCTGCACACTACTGCTTGTAAGCTCAGTTCAGTTACAAACTAAAAAAAAAAAAGTTTATTTTTTTTCTCTCTAGCAAGTGCTGTAATGGATCTTTTCTTGGTTATCTCCTGCAAATAGGTGGTATAGAGGTACTGTTTTAAAAGCAAACAACTGAAATTGCCCGTAAGATTTTGATGTTGAGAGAATAGATCTGTTACACTCGTTTAAAGCCAGTGTTATTTTCTTAAAATAAGTTCTCATAGAGCAAATTTAAAGTGGCATGGATCCAATGGAAGGTACAACCAGTTCTTTGAATATAAATGTGTGAAACACCAGAAAGATTGTTTATTCCTCTCACGTCTTGCATGTTTTAAATCAAAGCTGAACGTTCTTTACTTGTTAGTGTTTTGCTATACTTCGTGATGCTCAGGGGCTGTTTGACATCATCTTCTTATTCGCAGCTTCCTTTGATGGGGAGAAGCATGCCATCAATCTTCCTTCTGTAAACAGTGCATCGTTTGTGCTACGTTTCTTGGAGAAACTCTGCCACAGTCTTCAATGCGATAATCTTTTCAGTAGCCAGCCTTTCAGCCCTTACATGGGGTGTGCACATAGTCCCACGGAGTACGATAGGAACAAACCAGGTACTATTAAACAACTCTTGTTTACAAGTACTGTTATTTTTGAGAAGTGTGGTTACTTTATGAAATTTAACGTTTTGGTCTGCTTTGCTGTAACTTAAATTGACTGAAATGGTTCAGTTCTTAGTAGATTCGTTCCAGAGCACAAGTGCTGTGGCAGGTTGGGATGGCTCATAGCACATGTGCAGAAATCATTTTGTTCTGCTAACTCTTTCTTGTGGTCAACTAGGAAACATATGTATTGTACCACTGGGTTACTAAAAGAACAGACTCAAAACTTCACATTTTGCCTGTTCAATTTATGTTTGAATCATAAAATAACCTTGGATAAAGATGCTTACTAACTTATAAGAGGGGCTTGCTCTGAGAGGTGATTCAGTTCAGCCTATCCTACAACACTGAATAGTCTTTTCTTCCTTTGTTCATCTTGCTCAGTGATGGCTCCAAAATTTTAGATCTGCAGCATACAGTCTAGCAAAGAAGGTGGGTTTTGCAGCTGGCTGCTTGTGACATTTTATGTGAGTTTTGGTACTCTGGGGGTATATAGAGTGAGAGGAAAATAACATGCTCAAGGTCTCCCATCAAATGGTTTGCAGTGCTGGTATTACGAGTCCCAGTCCAAGAGTTATCAGGAGCCATAGCTGAGAAAACTTTGACATCAGTGCAGTTTCAGTCTTACAGGTGCTGCTTTAGAAAATAAAGTATTGTGGTTTTGGTATTTCGTTTTTTATTTGTTTTGTTTTGGGTTTTTTTCCAGTAAAGAAGTTGTACTTGTTTCATTTCATGAGATAAAAGTCATTTGCTTTAATACTTTTCAGGAAAGTAGACTAAGTTTGGAAATTTGGGTGATGACAGTATAAACTAAGTTGTTACTTCAGCTTTTGAAGTTCATATTGAAATGATGGATTCTGTGTGAAATGAGTTTGTTACCTGGTGAATGACTTGATGTATGTTTTTGCTTTTGTACTTTGACTTTCCCTGTGAGCATTTTTATACCATAATAAATAGGTGATGACTTTCCTCTTCACAGCAAAAGAAGAAATACATGAAAACGGAAGTGTTAAACGATACTCTCAGGACTCTCCACCATACACCGCTCCCCTTTCCCCTAAGCTTCCGAGGAGTGATGCTCATCCATCTGAAGGTGATTACATTGTGTTGGTGTTACATACGAGGACTACATATGATTTTGGTATTTCTACTCAAAAGGAGTGAGTACAGTGTATGTCTCTGGTTTGCCTATAGTCCTTGACAGCTCAGAATGGAGATATTTATTGATCAGTGGCATGGATTTTGTGCTTACGGACGATCTACTGCAAGTTCAAGAAGTCTTTCTCCTAAACATGTCAGTCTTTTTTGTGAAATCACTCAGGAAGATAGGTGACATTTGAAGCTTCCTGCTTCATGTATGGCTATTTAGTACAAAAATAATTCCCTTGAAATGGATTAGGAGATAAATTGGAAGCAACTCTAATAACTCTTGGCTTGGGCCAATGATTGTAAGAGCAAGGATGTGTTTTGATGGTACAATTTAACTGAATGTATGACTAGCTGCCCCTACAAGTTGCTCTGCTCCTGCTCTCCTTGCCTCCTTGTCTCTGTAGTGCATCTCATGCCTCCCTGCTGATGGGGTGACGAACTGACCCAGTGAAGCACAGAAAACATTTTGGCAAAGCTAGGAGATATTTGCAGCTTACTTCTCTGCACTGACTCATCATGCACTCAGATGAGCGCAGGAATGGGTTGGATAAAATGCAGCCACGGCAGGGACCAGAGCAGAGGAGCCTCTCTGTGCAGCTGACTCCAGGAAAAGGAAAGCTTTTGTCTGTGCTGTGGCAGAGGTGCAGTAGCTCGTTGTGCCGATTTGTAGTCAGCCTCAGAATGTAAGTGAAGCGTGTCAGCTTAAACCTCACAGAGAGACTTAGGAAAGAGTGGTTTTACTCTGCTTTTGCTACTTGTCAAACCGTGGTAACTTGTTGATGTGACTCATCCCATCTGATAGATACTTTCTATTGCTGCAGTATATTTGCATAATGTTTCCAAAGGCTTTTGAGATGAGTCATTTGTTTCTCTTTTTTCTCTTTTTTTTTTTTTTTTCTTCTTTTTTGAGTTACTGGTGTTTTGTCATTTAGCTTCAGTGTGGGCAGAATAATCTCTTTTTCTATGTAACGTCATGGGGCCACACTTAAATCAGAAGAGGATATCAAATTAAAATGTTAAAGCTTATTAAAAATGTTTCTTCTTACAATTTAATATAAATACAATGTATTAACTTCAGTGATGTAACCACAGTAGAAATATAAAAATTGTCAATGCAGACCTTTCTCTGTCTTAAATAGACCCTGGTTTAGGTCTAGAACATCTGTGCAATTAAATCATATATTTCTAGTAAGCAACTGTGTGAATAACTGTAAAATACTTAATTTTACTGAAATTAAGTTGTTTACATTGGAGATAAACAGATGTCTTAGACCAGCATTCTCTTATAAGAAATCTCCCTGTAAGTAAGTTGGCATGCGTGTAATAACCTGATGAGCATTTTGATACGGGAACGGAACCCTTTTATAGATGAAGTCAATGTATTTCTTCAAATTCATTTTACTATCAATAGTTTATTGTAAAGTGCCGTTACTTGGATTGAAAAAAAAGGAGGTCTGAGTTTGTACTATGTGTATTTTGAGAGACAAAGTATTCTCCAGTGTTGTGTGTTTCCCATTAGAGCAATGTCCTCTGAGGAAAATCTGGAGGTAATTTCATAGCGGTCAGTCATGGGCTGGTTAGCAAGAAAGATCTGCCCCTGAAATGTTCTGGCTCCATTGAGACACAGTTGTCTTGAAAGAGTTGTTTTGAAATACCATTTGAACGCAAAATGGAATAATTGTGGGAAAGGGTCTTTCAAACTGTTCATTTTCCTTCTGATCTACTCGTAGATATGTTTTGCAGATTTTGCTGTCATTTCTGTTCCATTACAGTTTCTTCTTAAAGTTCTGAAAGATAAGAGAAGGAAAAGAGAAACAACTCTGTCTCCTTCCCCTTGAAAACAGAGTGTTCTTTACTACTGCAGCCAGTTACATCATGCAGTTATGTATGAAGCAAAACAACTAGCTTATTCCCAGAGGAGCTTCAAGAAAACAAAACGTCCAATTCCTTCTAAGGCCTTCAGTCTTTAGCAGTCTGTTTTTACCCTTACATTTGAAACATAAGGCATTTTACTGGCCTTTTATACATCTACCCAGATTTCAGGTATTCTGCAGAGGAACCTCCTGAGTAACAGAAAAAAACTTGTTCTCATTCCATCCCTCTACTGCTCACATCTGCTCCAAATGTCGAGGTAGGAAAAGAGTCATTTATTGCTCCACTGATTGCAAAGCTGTATTTGTCACACACCAATTCTGAATCAGCTCTCATACCTGTTGACCGTGCCCTCTACAAGACTGCAGTTGGGGTTGGTTTGTAGAGAAGCTAGATGGATTGAAAGGGGGTGGACTGGGACAGTAGAGCTGCTGAGCAGAAACACCTTTTTTAAAAGATGATCACCCTGTGAAGTATGCCAGGGTTCCCACCTTGTATATGCGACCTGAAGAGTTAAGATAAGTTTAAGATAATGGCAGGACAAGGGGAAATGGCTTTAACTTGAGGGAGGGAAGATTTAGGTTGAATATCAAAGGGAAGTTCTTTACAGAGAGAGTGGTGAGGTGCTGGAACAGGCTGCCCAGAGAGGTTGTGGATGCCCCATCCCTGGAGGTGTTCAAGGCCAGTTGGATGAGGTCCTGGGCAGCCTGGTCTAGCATTAAATGAGGAGGTTGGCGGCCCTGTCTGTGGTGGGGGGTTGGAGCTTCATGATCCTTGAGGGTCCCTTCCAACACTGGCCATTCTATGATTTTCTGATTCTAAGCTCAAATGCTAGCGTCTTGGGATACAAAGCACAGTTTCTCTTTGCCATCCCTATTTACTGTTGCTTAATTAGGATCAATAGCATTAGAAAGAAACCAGGACATAGTTGGAGAAAATGCAATTAAATTCTTTTGTAATATAGTGAATTTAAAACCCTTTATGTCCTGCGAGATCATGGAAAGAATTGCATAAAATGATTATTTAAAAGGCATATTTGGGATCTCCGCTTGATTACTATAAAAAGATTCCTTCATAAGACATTGCATGGAGTTGGCTGATATTTGCTGAAATACTCCTGTTGAAACTTTCTGGTGTGGAATATTGCTTCCAGTATTTCATCATGCCTTTAAAAACTTATGAAGTGTTAATCTACAAGTTTTGGGCTCCTTCATAGTGCTTTTCTGTAGCCATTTGAAGTATTACTTCTGCCTTTCAGTCTTGCATCAAGACTTCACTTGGTGGTCTCATTCTCTACTGAATCCAACTTTCTCATTTGTTTCCTTTAATATTACAGTGCTTATCAATGATGAGTTAGTATATTTGAAATACTATAGAAAGATGGCTTTTGCTTTCATTTTAGCAAGTTGCTGCAGCTACTTCAAGCCAACAAATAAAAGTTTGCTTTCTCCAAAAACCTCAGTAGCTACTGCTTTGCTTTTTTGATACAGATCAAACTAGAAAGTTTATCACTATTGTCTTGGGGGTTGTACTCGAAAGGGAAGGGCTTGTGGACTCTAAAGCTTCTTTTTGCCACGAGTGTCGTGTTTAATAGAAGATGTTAGGCTGGTTTGCATGTCTCGCTTTACTGAATTCACTAAGTAGGGAACCGGTTCTCTGGGTGTCTTTGTTCCACTTTGGGATAATGTTGCCTGAAGATCGTAACTGTGAAATACACTCCAAGTTCTTCACTAAACTCCAGTGTTATACAGACTTCAGGAGAGAGAACCTAATTGCTAATGGAACAAGTTAAACGTGCTTAAAAAGCTCTCTGTGGGTTGTTGTTGTTGTTTGTTTGTTTGAGGAAAATACTCTTTATTTAATTCTGGAAGTTTCCCAAGAAATTATTGGAAGTTGTCATATAAGAAGGGTAATAAAGAGCATATTCTAGGAATTTGTTTCACAGATTGTACCAGTTACCCCAAAGAATATGCTGCTCCGCTAGCATATGTTTTATTACTTTCATAGAGTAATTTTCAAGATGGTAATGTGTAGTTTACACTTCTGTGAACCTGTTAGCTATATTTTCCAGCTCTTAACTCTCTTGCCAAAGCAGCATTTGTTTCATGCAGATTTTTGCATCAGGCTTCCAGCTTCTTCCTCAGGGTAGATATTGGCCTAGTGCAAGTGGAGCTGAGAACATACAATGATGAGAGAATGGAGTGGTGTTCCCATTGATGTTTAACTATGCGTAGATGCAGCACTGTGATCAGAGTGTATTGTGTTAGTGTGCATGTGAGTCTAGGATTTACAGCCTTCTGCAGCTCTGCATGTAGTCTCTTCAGTTTTTTGTGATGGCTATTGTCTCCGAACATATGGAGATCTACAGATGATAATTGTCCTCTTGCTTATGAAGTTAGAGATTCCCTTTACTGTGTAGAACAAATTAAACAATTGCTAGTTACCATGAGAGGTTTTTTTGTTAAAAAATTCTTTTTATAATTCTTTTTATATTTATAAAAATTATAAACATAATGCATTCGTAAACAGATTCTCAGAAAGTAACCATTAAGAAAGATGATGAAAATGCTTGACTGAGATCGCATGTGTTAATACTAGTATCAGACAATGAAAAAAAATCAAACAAACCTTATGTCCACATCCTGCTCGTGATATTTAACACGTACAGCTGAGATGATTTATGGAAGACTGTCTCAAACTTGTCTATGAGACATTTTACTGGAAATTTTTTAATGTAGTAAAGGAGCAGTGATTACTTGAGAATGACTGTTCTGCAGTAAGTCTTGTCTCACAGGAGATTTGTTAACAGGCTTGGAGCTCGTTATTATCTTCAAGAAAACATAGCAAGGAATTAAATAACAAAGCTACAAAGTCCATCGTTTTGAACAGATCGATGCTTTTGTTTTCTGTAGCAGAAACATTACGTATAGAAGAAAACAGCACTTCCAAAGAGCATCGCTTTTCTGAGGACTCTATGGATTCTGCACTTAATTCAGTAAATCTGTCAAGCCCGGCCCGTCGAAATTCCACCGAATATCGTACTTCAGGGAGTGCAGCGTATTACAGGAATTCCTTTCAGCCAGTGACTGCTACCTCAAATTCAGCCCCAGTCCTGCGCCGGCTGTCATTGAGCTCTGCTGGGAACAGCAGTTACTACGAAGTCAGTAGGAATCGAATACAGAGGAGGATTGAAGGTATGCTATATGCCTAAACTTTCCAAAGTATGTAACAGCTTTTATGAACATGCAAAGTCCGTGAGTTATGAACAAAGAAGTTCTTTGCCACAGAAAATACGTTACATATGGAGTGAGATGTTGTGCTGTTGCCAAGCACGTCAGGCTTGCTAATGTAACTTCAAATGCAGAACTTAAGCCTGCTAGAACTAATACCATGGAGCAAACCAGAGGAGTCTTGTCTGCTGCACTTTCCTCTCACTACTGTCAGGGACGACCCTGCAACAGGCTGGATTGGGCAGTGCTAGTTAAACACAGCTTGCTTTCTGAGCATTTTATCAATTATTTCTGTATTGCTGATATACAGATATAGGGTTTCTTCCTGTTCCTCTGCACAGTTGAATTTCCATTTGCCACTTTCCCGGATACTGGCATCTTGGGACCCGGGAACCAAACACAAGTCAAACTAATCCCTCTAGGTATGTCATAGAGTTGGTTTTTATGTTGTTGTAATTATCTGCAGTTGTAGAGAGTACTTAAGACAAATGGAACTGTTTGGTATTATGGTTTGATACATGAAGGAAAATAAAACATCCTTTATTTTAATACATGACAAAGAATGAATAATAAAAGCCTATTGTTAAGAATGTCATATGTCAAATGAAATGTGTTAGTCCTGTACAGACTAGTGATACTTCTTCTTTTCACAATATTCTTACGCTGAAAGCTGCAAGTTCCACAACTGGACCAGATCTGAATTCACTTAAGAGGGAACCTTCAAGAATATCGAATAAGGATCCGTCCACCTGGTCAATAGAGGAAGTAATGTGTTTTGTGAAAGAAGCTGATCCACAGGCACTAGCTCCACATGCTGAACTCTTCAGGAGACATGTATGATGCATATCCATTCTGCTCTACTAGATGTCATGTATTGCATTAATCTTCTAGAATACAATTTCGATGTCTGTCAGTGTATTTCCAATTAAAGGTAGACTGCTCACTTGTGTAATACAGGGAGGTTGAAAAATTATTTTTCCACCTGAAAATCCTCCTGCAGTATGTTTTCTCTGTGTTCCAACCTCATTAGACTTAAGATAATATGCATTGTTTTCCAGCTGGTACGAGGTAGTGTGATACTGGAACTCTTACATTGTAGTGGCCAGCTTCCAAGGCGCCCTGTTGCTGTGGTACGTCTTGAGAAGCTGACATTCTCACCTGCAATATGGGGTGCTTGTCTTTTGTTGGTGACACTTCTCTAAGGCCGTCTGTTTTGTAGATGGATTATCCCAAAGCAGAGAAGCTGCTGTGCCTTGTTACCTTTGCACTTGGTCATCAATACTAAAATTCAGAGGTTGAGCTGAAATATTTGTCTGTTTTGACAAAGAATATGGAGTTTTGTAGGATCTAACTAGATATTGTACTCAGGGAGTAAATGTTGGCTTCCTCGCGTTGTTTTTGATCTCCCTTTTCACTGCGCTTTTGTATGGCAAGGTGTTAAGCAAAGAGCTGTGTCATTATTTCATTTTATATTTGGCTCTCCAAAAAGAGGTTGACTTTCTCTTTAGTAGCATTTTGCCCCCACTCTGCACCAGCTCTTACTAACAGTTAAACTCTTTCACAGTAAGCTGGATTAGAAGCAAGTTTCAAAGTAACTTTTAACAAAACTTCCTGTCTTATGTGTTATTCTTAGTTGTGTAACAAGACTAAATGTCGCTTGTTTTGTCAGGTTTATGTTTAAAAAAACTAAGACAGAATAATTCTCTTTATGGTGTTTTAGGGAACTAATTGCCTGTCTGCAGTATGTAACGCTACTAAGAGCTTTGGACTGTCACATTTCAGCAACTTTTCAACCAGGCAGTTGAAATCTGACTAAGTTGTCTTCAGTCTTGATCCTAACAATCTGTCTGCTTTAACCTGGCTGTAGATCTGTCTTATTTCACAGCTTCAGATGGTCTGTAACCCCTTCCTCTGAGTGACTGTTTGCATGCGCATGCCAGAATCCTCCCACAGCTGTGTTCAAGGTTCAGTGCAAGGCCTCCGTGCTTGCATCATTTAATCTCTAACTGCACAGACCTTCCTTTGCAGCCTTTTTTCTCTCCTTGACCCATTCACTTTTTTTCTCAGCTGGTACCTATTTTGGGGGGCTGTTTGATCAGTTTCCTTTACTTACTGTAATTTCATTTAGTATCTCACAGACCTTAACCATACAGTAAAAATACTACAATAAATTCACTTTCGGGGCTGTGGGTAAATATCACATTGCAATAAGTTACTGCCTCGTATATGGTAAATGCTTTTTTTACTGCATTCTCAACAAATATAGTTTTCAGTGTTAGCCTGCAGATTGTTAAAATAGTCGTGTTGTGTTTGTTCTCTTCCTTCTGCAGGAAATCGATGGAAAGGCACTACTGTTACTGAGGAGTGATATGATCATGAAATACATGGGACTGAAGCTGGGGCCTGCCCTGAAGTTGTGCTACCACATTGAAAGACTTAAACAAGGAAAGTACTAGCTGAACGGGGACACTGCAGTGTGTGTGCGTGTGCGTGTACCACACTGAGCTCTCAGGTTAACTGCCATCACCTTTATTTAAAAGTCTTTTGCTGGTGTAAGTTATCTGTATTTTTTGGAAGTTCTGTCAAAATGTGAAAAAAGACACCTTAGGAGAAAGTAGAGGGAAAAGATGTATTCCATTCTAGTGTTTTAGTGAACTGTTTCAGCCAGTTTGCAGGGAGAGACAGTTGGTAACGGGCAGGTTGGGTAACAGTGCCAAAAGGCACATTCTCTGTTGCAGACTTCAGCAAACATGTTCATATTCAGAACCAAAACAGCTGAATCCCAAAGGGAAAAACAGAAACAGCATCAGATGTTAATAATTATTACAGGGATGGCTGTGAACTTTTACGTTGCAAGGAAAATAGAAGATCTAATCTCAGCAGTGAGTGCCTGTTTCTCCAGAAGAGTAATACTCAGATTATTCTTCATAGATTTCCATAAAGGGAATAGCTGTATGAGCAGTTCAGGGGGGAGGGAGGTGTAGGGAGGGAAGGGTTACGGAGGAGAGGGCTTCAAACAATTCTAAGCTTTTATAAAGTGTGATTATCAGTCCTTTCGTGAGTTACGAGGACAAATGTAGGGTATGTTGTCAATTTATGGTGGCAATAATAGTTCTGTTTCATGGAAGAGCACATTGGCTGTATAAACAGCCTGTTCTGGAACAGACAGATTTCACTGTAACAACGCATCCACATTTTAAAACATTCCATCTTTTTGCTAAGTTTGTCATGGATACACGTCCTCATGCTTTTTATAGATACACGTGTACGTGTTGGGGAAATGCACGTTACATGTATTTGAAAATGCACATACACCCTGTACATATGTATTCAGTTTTTAATGTGTACTTTGCACTGTGCCAGAGAGAACTGTACAATTTCCTGGGTTTTGTTTTCTTTTTTTACCAGTGATTTTAGTCACGTGCTACTTTCATTTCCATTAGCGCCTGTTTAATTTGTTGTCCATTCTTGGAGTCAGAAGGTGACAAACAATCAAAGGGTAGATTTACTCCTACAGGCAAAATCCCTGTACTATGCAATCCTCGTGGTTATTCATCACTTAACTGAGCCATGTATTCTGGTATATTTCTGGAAATACGTGGTTGGTTCTGATGTTTAAGACTTGTGTTTCCTTTAAGGAAGTGCCACTGTGTAATGGATAAGCCTGTTTAGGGTAAAATTGGTGCTGTTTATATAAGCTACAACAACCAGCAGTGATAATAAACCAGTTTGTTTTCACTGCCAATTGTAATATACATCAGGGACAAGAAAATATACTTCTGTGTAGGAAACTGAATGTACTGTATGTAATAGTGCAAGTGACGAAAACTATTTGGTAGGGAAGGTGTAGTCCTTAAACGGTAGGTTTTATTATATTTCTTATTGCCTTTTTATATGAAGCTATATAGTAAAAATGTATTTTTTACAAATTCCTTTTCTGAAACTGCCTTGCTGTACCAATACTCTGATACTGCTCAGGTTTCAGCAGAGATACTGCTGCAAAATAACGTGTTTTGTGGCTCACCGGCGTCCAAGAGCTTTGTTAGTTTAAGTGACTGCAATGCAATTTTAATTTGGGCTTTGAGGATTGTTTTTATTACTCCATTGCTAGACATTGGACACAAAAGGTTATCTATATTGATTTGTTTTGCATATCTTTTGTGGTGCGTGTGTGCTTAGATGAATAATACAAGCATGTTCTGAATATTAGGAAGAGGTCAGAGCATTGATTGGAAAAGCAGAATATTTTCTCTTTGTGTTTGGAAAATACTGACTTGATCATTGATAAAAACCATATGAAAGTCCCAGTTATATATTAAGAAAAACATCATGCCCCGCATGTTGAGTATGTTGTTTAAACCTTACTTCCACCATGATTTATTATGCTGAAGTTCAGAGTTCTTCAGTGTAAAAAGAAGTACTGCTCATACAATTAACTAAACAGTTTTCATTTTTCACATTGCCATTGGCAGAGGAGAAACAAAGATGTTTAAAATTTCAGTTTGGCCTCTATGGAATGAACTTTTTATACATGGCACTATTATGGGTATAAATATTTGTTCAAGGCTTTGCGGGCACCCGTGTGCTTGGGGGGTGGGGGGGTTACAATACCAGAATTTCACCACGTGCTGTAGTATGAGATTCAAGCGTTCCATGTGCTCTAGCAGAATATATTTTTTATTCTTTCTTTTCAATGGGATGCTCTTTCCCATCATCAAAAATAAAATGGCTTGTTCATTGTTGCACGTTTCGTTTTGACACTGTGTAAGCAGTGCCTGCGTAGGCAGGGGTAGCTCCCTTATCTGGCACTGGGCAGGTCTGGACAGCTCGTGTAAACATCTGACGTGAGGAAGTTTCACTCCGAAGGATAACATGGTTCCAACATTGTTTATGCCAAGCAGTTCATATTTGAACTTTGGTTGGTCTGTGCTTTCAAAATAACGATTTAGGAATATATTCATCTCTTCAGTTTTGAATACAGCATGCCGCTGCTTACAGTTTACAGAATTCCCATATAAATCACCAAGGGGGGGAGACGGCTAAAAACTAAAACACTGTGCTGCGTTCAGATGGAGCGATTTAAAATAAAGCAGTCAGTGCCAGTGGGTTTGAACTTCATGTACTTTAGGTTTTATTGTTTGTGTTACAGAGAAGTCTGTTATTCTGATGCCCGTTTGCAGTGATCCGCCTGCATTTGAAAAGTAATGTGAATTGGGCTAATGGTAACACAAACAATTTGCAGGCGAATCGTGGAACATGGAAGCAACGACAGTCTGGAGGCATTTTGCGACTGATCTCGCTCAAGGGATAGCGAATATCTTTTTGGTGCCTATTCAATACAAAACAATGTGTGGTGCGTTCTCTGAGGTACTTTTCTATCAGTGGGGATTCACCAGTTTACCAGCTGAATCTGCAACTTTTAGACTCTTGCGAGACTGTGCTATGACTTGTCAGTGTGCGGTAAGGTCTCTTCTATCTGAAATTAAAGTGCTCCTTCTCCAGGAGGAGCAGCATCTCTCACAACTCACGAAGAACAGTAAAAGACACGAATGTTGTGTTGAAAGTATTGGCTCAAAGGATGGAATGTTTCCCCCATTTTTGTTGCTTTAATAAAGGCACATCATTTTTTATGTCGGCTGGTAGTTACAGGGGAAGATGTTCTTCTGCCTGCTCATAGTGTTTGTAGAAACTCTGCTTCCTTTTCGGTTGCCCAGGGAGAGTTTGCCCAAAAGCTGCACTAACCTTCTCTGTTATTCTAATGGCAGTTTTATGGGAGTCTGCAGACGTCATCATGCATGTCCTGCACGCGATGCAGAAAACTCTACTTTTGAATAGCTCAAATATTCCTTTATCTAGGGTAACGATGATCCCTCAAGTAAGGATGGCTACAGTCCTGAACCCTGAACCTGGACAAATGAAGCACTATGGTTATTCATGCCTGTCTTTTCTTTAATTGGAGGTAAAATGGAGAGAGTTGAAGCACGGTACACTGTGGAATTAATAGGTTATCTTCCTGCTTAACTCAGAGGGTCACTTTTTCCTGTTCACATAACTTTCCAGTGGGCGAGCTTGGGATCATGTTTTCCACTAAAAATGAGGTAATAATGCAAGTTTATTCATATATTTGTATATATGAATCTGTACTATAAGTGGTTTTTAATTTAAATGGCCCAACATCCACAAGTAGGGGAGCAGCCTGTGTCTAGCCAACTTGAAGCAGAGATACTCACTGCTTTAGGATGATTTGTGTTATATTATTTTTCCATTCTTTTTCCAGTTGGAGCTGGTTTTCTTTCTGTTCTTCATTATCACAAATTATCTTAAGCCTGCTCAGTGATTTTTGTCTACACCACTGCGTGTAACTTTTATGCCGCTTGCTCTGAACCTATTTGATTTCTAAAAGCTTTTTTTCCCATAGACTTAAAATAGTGACTAGAAGTAATAACTTCATAAAAGCTGTAGAGCAAGTGGTGCTATAGGGAAAAACAGAAATACCACTCGGCATAGGCCTGAGGTTTTTTGTGTAAGTACAGTGGGATTTGTACTAACAGCTTTAAGTGCTTCTAGTTTTCTTTTGTCTCTGCCCTGTTCTGAATAAGAGTGGAGCACTGTAGTTGGTTCTAATGCAGTGTCACGTGGCTAAACAGATTTGAAAGTGGATAACAATATTTTGTTCTTTGATTGCCAAGCTGTTATGTAATAGTTACATGAATGTTTAATTCCAACATCAGATGTGTGAGCTTCTGCTGCTGAATTGAAGCTACGTAAAGATAGGCTTAGGTTTAAAAAAAAAATAATAAAATAAAGGGCAAAAACACCCCTTGAGATCAATTTTGGAGGTCATATATTCCTCCCCTCTTTTTTTTATTGCTTGTAAAACTATTGGAGTGAGTAGAAAGTGCTTGCTTGGAATTGCCTAAAAGTGACGCAGAAACATTCGCATCTATTCCTCTGGTGAAATGGTTGCTGCTTTTTGCTCAATCCTTGATTATAATCTTGCGCTCTGCAAAGCTCGGTAACCAGTCCATAGTCCTGGGATCTTGTTCCCAAACTGGCAGTGCTCCTGCTGCTCAAAAGACTACGCAGAGCCATTTTGAGCCTTTATCTTAAAATCTGAAGTCTGTTGTAAGCTCTCTGTGTTTTGAGTCAGCAAGCAGAAGGCATTTTATATTGTGATTTATTTATTTTTTTACAGCGGCAACCCCAGAAATTCTTCTTTGAAAACAACAAACACATAAATTTTAAAACTTTCTCCTCTGACCGTGGCTGCGTAGATGATGGGAGTTCAGCATGTCCTTAAAATATGCCGTTACAGCGGTCCAGCAGGCTTTTAACTCCCTCACTTACATGAATCATCCATCCCTGTCCTAGCAGATCATTTTGATTAGCTGTAATTTGTCCCATCTGAATCAGAATTAGCTTCCACCAGCTCCATAATCTCCCAGCTCTGCAGTACAAGCAAGGAGCCTTGCCTGAGCTGCTGCTACTCTGAGCTGTACCTCAGACCTCTGCTACTTTTATTTCAGCTTTCCCCATCTGTGGTGGAGCTGCTTAGTGCTGATAGTGAACGCTGCACATCTCTACTTCTTTTCTTGTTAAAATACATGAAGACATTCTCATCTACTGAGATTGACTTTTTAGCCTCCGAAATCAAAGCCCTTCCAGGATAAATCGTATGAGCAAACAGATGCCAGCACAAGAGGAAAGGGAGATCACATCCCATATTGTGTGAACAGACAAATGTGAACAGATGTACAGCTCGATGCTGGCAGAAACGCACTCCTGCCAATGACTCCTTTCTAGTTATGACAGCTGGAAGGAAATGAATGCACCACAAAACCACCATGGTAATTGCCATTACCCTGTGCTGGCAGCCTCAGCAGTGAGGTCAGGAATGGGAAAGACAAGTACTCGGCTCCCCTCCCAGGTGGAAGCTGAGGCAAGTCAGCGAGGCAGTTGGAAAACCTCAACAAATGGTGGTGCACCTCAGAAAGTCTGGTGTTTGAATGGCATCTTCCTAGATTTCCCCTTTTCTCATGTGGAGAGTATTTGGTGGTTTTTGTTGTTTGCATTTTTTTTTCCTCATGGTTATGTAAGCACTCTGTTCTTTCAAGCACTTGTGTTAATGTTAAGGGGAATTTCAGACAGCTCTGAACACTTCTTCCCTCAATTTCCACCTCTTCAAACCAGAGCTGCCAAGCAGGTCTTCCTACCAACTGGAGAGCCTCTGTTTTTGAGGGAAGGATCTTTACATGTACTTGTTACTCTGTGTGTTTTGAAAAGTAAGAAAAGGACTCAGCAGTTTCCTTGCTGATCCCTGCATAATGTGTTACTGCTACTGATTTCTTTCCTTGCCTGGGAATGCTGGTGGTACTGTGTTGTGAACAGAGGGCTGAGGCTGAATTACCCAAGGTGCAATCCACAGAGTTCTTTCTTGTCTGTCTGTCTGCCTTAAGTTCCTGTGCTCGCATGAACAAAGTAGTGGGGAGGGCACAATTAATAAATCAAGGTTCCGTTCAAGCCTGGCCCTGGTTTATGCTGGTTCACTAGGAGTGAGCTACAATCTAGGTCATCCTAACAAGACTTGGGATGTTTACCAACACAACTTCTTTTCCATATCAGGCTGATGGACAGTGGTGGCTTTTTAGGTGTGTGTTGGTTTTTTTGCTTGTTTTGTTTTCAGTTGAATGTTGCCAGCTGTTTTCAAAGGGCCAGGGCTCTCAGCTCAGTCAAAGGGAGAGTATTGCTTCCGTGCATTCACCGTAATGAACTGTAAACTGTCTCAGGGTTTGGCAGCTGGAAATGAGCAGGTTGGAGAAAGTTTAAATGTTTTGAAAGAAAACAGAAATGGAAGGCAGGGATGAGTGATAGGGCTTTTGTGCAATAATCATGGGAAGGAAAATATATGAAGAATGAAGTAATGGAAAACTGAGGAAAAGGAGAAACCAGGTGGAATACAAAGTTAAACCGTTTTGGATTTAGATGCACTGATTGCTGAGTCATAACTGATGACTTTGGGCATTGGTATTGAGCTGAGATTTTAAGGAGGAAAGTTTAAAGATTAATGTTTTATGTCAGGGGTGTAAAATAGTTTATCGTGTGTGAAAATGGACTGTTTTCCCCCTTCGTTTTGCTGGTCACCAGTTGTAAAAAATCAAAACTTGTCTTTTAAATGTAGAGCCATGTTTGATTGAAGGTAAACCAATGAGCCTGTCCGTAACTTCAGATACCAAAGACTTCTTGATATGATTTCATCTGAGAACAAGGGCTGAGTCATTCCCTGCCTGATCCTTTGGGCATCCTCTCTCTGTCCTTTAATTGTTTCTTCCTAATTGAATGAGCTGATGCCACCAATTCCCTCCTGATGTGATTTCTTTTAAAGTTTCACCTGACAAAGAATACAGCATTGGGTTTAACTTCATATAGCTTCCCATCTTTGTACCATAGCCGTTTCTCATTGTAGACCATGTAAGCGTAGTTGACTGACCCAGAGGCAGCATTGGCTTTACACAGAGAAATAGCTTTCTGGACTCCTTGGCTTTTGTTGTCTAGTTTGCCAGTATCTGTCATGGGAGCCTCAGACCCTCTCTCTCTTCACTTCAGGATGTTAACTAATTCATCATCAAAAGTGCTGTTTGTTGTGAGAAGGATGGAACAATCCCTTTACCTGAACCCCTGGTGAAAGACCTGCCTGGCATTTAGGAGGACTTGGGTTTTACGAAATGAAAGAGCACTGGCAAAGTCCCATGGTCTACCACATAAGGTGTCTTGCTCAAAAGTCCAGATGTCCATAGTATGTGATCTCAAAAGTCTATCCCTTGAAAATATTTCTGAGCCCAGATCCCAGTGTGTTGCACACTCTCAGCGCTGTTGTTTCTCTTTTGAAGTGGCGAAACGTAGATGACAGCATTTTAAATATTTCCTTTTTCAGTCCTGCTGGGACCCCCTGTACATGAGTATTGGGATACTTGGCCAGTGAGGCGTATGGTCCTCAGGCTTTGGGACCAGTGGGGCAGCTCAGTGCCTGCATGGCTGAGCTGTGCAGGGTCTCTAAGGGCACGCCATCGTGCCACGTTTTCCTGTTACACACTTCAATTAAAGCATGACAAATTCACCTGAAATCATTGTAACTTTGGATGCAGGTGAGGTGTTATTCTTTTCCCCTTGAGGTCTTAGTAGGCAACTAAACGACTGGTGAAGCAGAATCCTCGGCAATTAATAACTTTCCCATACCTACTGATGGGATTTATGGGTTGTTGTTTTTGTTGTTGCTGGTTTCTTTAATAGTACATAGGTCCTGGGGAGAAGGACCTCCTTGTTTTGTGTTGCAGTGACGCACTCTTTTGTGGTTTGGTTGAGATGCCAAGATGCCAGACTTGGACAGAACATTGCCTATCATCTCTGTTTCTTAAGCAGAAAAGGATGGGAATGCTGTTGATGAGGAGATTGTGGGAAGGATGATATTAAAACAATGCAGAAAATGTGGCCATTTTGAGACAGCTGTGGGCTAAGGAACATTAGTAATCCCGGGAGCAAAGGGGGGCTTGGCACGGGTTGGCACGGCGTTGGGTTCCCAGCACTTCCATACAAACCTGAACTTCATTACAGTGAAAACTTTTTGCCTGGAGAACAGTACTCCATTCCAGGCACTTCTATTAGATGCCATCCTGCCTGATGCTCTTTTCATTTCCCCCACTTCATTTGAAAGTATCCTAATAATTTCGGTACCAGGATCTTACACTATTACTGAAGGAGAGCTTGGGATATGTGGGCACAAAGCAGTGCTAAATACTTCAGTGGTTAGTAATTTTTCTCCCCAAACATGCAGAAATGATTCAGGTGGTTAAACAACAAGATGGATTTTCCTAGCAGGGAGGCAATACTGGGAATTTAACAACTGTGGAAAACACATTTTCCACACTGAAATTAGGGGATTTGCTTGTGCGTGGAAACTGTCCTGAATTGCAGACTTCAGAACTGATGAGTACGTAACGTTGTCTCAGAGAAATGAAACTGTAAAGAGTAGGGGGGAGAAGGTGAGTATAGAAGCAAATGGAAATGAGTGAAGAGGCAGGTGTGTACAGAAGCAAGTGGCACAGATACGCACCATTACTGTTGCAGTGGCAGGCTGACGTGCAGGAACGGAGGAGCCTGTCCCAGCCAGATGAAAGTGAGGCCTTTGCCCAAGCATTTCAGCGTGTTCTCATAAACTTGAGCACAAAAAGAAACCCAAATGTCTGGCACTAGGATATTACGTAATATTCTACATTCTCATTGTCGGAGATCCTTGGTCAGGGCTGCTGCTGGGCCGAGCATTGCTGCTGGATCCCTGTCCTGAGGTGCCTCTGCACAAGTGGAGGAGAGGACTCCTGGCACTGCTCCCTTTGGTGTTCAGCCGCCACTTCTGTGGGACGTACAAGGCAGTGCTGTGTGTGCATCTGTGATAGAAGTTGATACATTTGCTACTCTCTTTCCCCTCTCTTTCCAGTTTAATTGGGTTCGCTGCTAAGTCCCACTCTTCCCCACCACTGGCTGTGTCATAGGAGAGGCAGAACAAGAGGGGGAAGGACGTGTTCCCTGTGCTGTGACGTAGTGTGGTGTGATGTTTGTGTCTCTGCTGCCTTCATCCCAGGCAGGCGCACCCTGTACTCGTTGCCCTGTTGCTCACGATGCTGCAGTTCCCTGGGGTGCATTGTGTGAAGCTGACAGCTTCCTCTGCTCTGCTCATTGTCTGTTCATGGCCAAGGGCTGCCGCATTGCTTCTTCCTTTCATTCTGTGGCTGGATTCTTGCTAGCTTTAATATAGGTGTCATGTTATGACAGATCTGGAGGTGGCTTTTGGCTTCCACTACCTGTTTCCATCTTCCCCTGTTCCACCACCTTCTAGAACTCATACTTGCCTTGCTTGCTTCTCTCCTGGCTGTGTGTCTCTTCTGTCAGTCTAAATATCACCTGTTTTCATCAGGCTTAGAAATGTCATTGCTCTTTTCGCCTCAGTGCCAGGGAATGGGCCAGCTCTGCCCCTGGGGCTGCTTTCCCTGAGCTCGAAGTTGGGGTCCATGGCTTCCTGCAAAGCCTCTCCTTGAGAGCAAACAGATGGGAAGGGATTCCACTCTGCTCTTTCCTCACCTCCTAATAAAACCCACCCCCCAAGTCACTGGGAGCTTGGAGCCAACACGGGTTGCCCTTGAGGGTCAGTGCTGCTCCTTTCTGTCTCTACTTTGCACGTGCCCATTGTTGTAAAACATCCTCCTCCTGCCATTATGGCTTAATGACTTTCCCTTCAACTTCTCAAGAGGTATTAATGTCTCCATTAACAGCCACCAGAAATGGAGGCTCCATATATCACATAGCAGCTCCCCATCCTTCTCCTGCAGAAGTTTCAGAAGCAGTTAAAATGTAGCCGTGGAGAAAATTAATGGCCCAATGTACAAAATCTGTAATTGCTGCTAGCAGCGAGGAGGAGGTGGAAGTGCTCAGTCTTCGTGTAATTAAGTGCCTTGTTCTGTGCCCATGTGCTTCACACACAAGCAGTGGTAGGAGGAAGATGGCACTTAGGTAGGGGCCTTTGCCCAGCGCTGCGTAAGGGGAGGTGTTGTGGCATGGCTGTTCAGTGCCCACTGCCCCCAGCTGCCTCGGGCCCTGTTGCTGTCACAGAGAGCAGAGCTCAGCGCTGCTCTTCCGCTCCCTGTGAGGAGCTGCAGCTGCCATCAGGCCTCCCCTCAGCTCCTCGGGGCCTCGGCTGCTCCTCACACACCTTGCCCTCAGCTCCATTTCAGAGAGGGAGGGCTGCAATACTCTGGGGCGCCTGCTGGCTGCTGCCTGTCTGTCCTCACACCTGAGTCAGCCACCCACAGCAGTTGGGTGTTCTCACAGCTTTGTGTGCGCTTAAAAAGGCTGCTAAGAGCAGCTGACTGCCATGGTATCAGGGCTTTTGGGCTCGGGGTCTTGTTCCCTCAGGGCAAACCAGCAGGTCATGTCACCCTGCGCCTGGCCTGGCCACAGCTGTGGGGAAGTGACAATGGGAACTGGAGTCCTGAGGGACCTCCTCAGCCCCAGCGCTGCAGCTACTGAGAAGTGGAACATCAGCGCAGCTTTTTGGGAGGAACAAAACAAAGCAGCAGAACGCTTTTCACCTAAGAACAAGATTATTTTAAGAAGACAAAAGCCTGTCAGATGACAAAACATTAATGAATCCATCAGTGCTACGAGCTATCTGAGCATTTGCAGTTCTGCCAGCTTTGGGAAAAATAAAAACATTTAAAAAGAGGAATTTGGCAGGATACGATGGTAGGGGTGCACAACACCCACTCATTCTATATACTGAGTAGTCCTTCAGCCCAAAAGAGTAGCAGAACGCCCTTCCCACTCCCTGGGCAGTTGGTGGGGGCACTCAGTAGTGCCCTGCTCTCTGCAGTGGGAGTGTCAGTGGAGCTCATGTTGAGGCCCATAGCTGGAGATGGCGTTTTGAACCTGGAAGTTGCCTCTCTGGCCGGTTTCCTGCAAGAACTACTGCTGCACTCTCTGCCCATGGGGGAGACCTGGGAGTTGTTTGGCTACAGAGGGAGGAAGCGTGGCGCAGTCAGAGCACTGCGTTACCTGCATGACGGGTTCAGAGCTACGCCACAGTGGGTGCCTGGCCCTGCAGACACTCGAGGTCAGGCTGGAGGGGGCTCTGAACACCCTGATGGAGCTGTAGTTGTCCCTGTTCATTGCAGGGGGTTGGACTAGATGGTCTTTAAAGCCAACGTGCAGTAGCGCATCTCCAGCTGTCATACACAAGTGCAAAACCATCACTTACCAGAACGTTTATTGTAATGGTACATTCACATTTCTCCATGGACGTGTGCGGCTTGTACACCGTCAGGTAATGAAGTTACATAGTTCTGCTCTTTCATGTGCATTGACTTCAGCCATCAAAGACAATTATAAAACTAACAATAAACAATGCCTCCATATATCTACAGCCAGGTGGGAAAAAATTAGGCGACTTTTCTTTATCACCCCTCTGCAACCGAATTCCCCCAGTTTTTAAGACTTTCTTGTTTAAATAACTGCTGCTATTGCTTTCAGCACTTTAGAACTGGGTTGTGAGCGTCAGCACAGGGCCGCACCACTCAGCTACCCTCATTTTTGCCGCTCTGAAGCCCACTGGGGCGCAGTGCCCCCAACAGCATGCCCCGATCTGCTCCCAGGTGGATTCTTAGCAGCACTCTGAACAAGTGAGGGCGGTTGCAGCCTTCGGCCAGGCCTCCTCCATGCTGCCAAAGCCCTTCAGAAATGACAGAGATACCGCCACCGATTAGCACATACAAACATTTATTTTGAAATTTCCGTTCTAACCATTATGAAGAATTACATCATCAAAGCACTTTATGGCAGTGAAAATAGCTCTTACCCCTCTGACTCATCCGTTACTCCATTAAAGCTGCAAAATGTGCAATCTGCTTGAAAAATAGGTTGCTTTTATTCAGTTTCCCACGAAAAGTCAAAATTTAATAACAAAAAAAAAAGAAGAAACCCAGCTTATAGGGACTCTACTTCTGCTCCTCTCCCCCTTCCCCAAAAATAACTTACAAAGATAGTTTAAAGTTTTAAATGAGTTTAAAACCAAGTGCATCTTTTTTATTATTTTTTTTTTTCCATAATAATCTTAAAATTCTAAAAACCCATAATTTACTTTCTTGGAAAAAAGGCAGCAAGCCGTTGCTTCTTTATTGGAAGAATGTGTATTTCGGGCGAGTTCATTTTCTTTAGCTTTACGCTCCTGTTCTTTACGGGTTTCCTAAGCGCCTCGGTGTTGTCCCGCGGCTCGGGCTGGCTCTTCATGTCGTAGCACTGCAGCACTGAGTCCTGGGGCATGTCCCTTTTGAAGGAGAAGTTTTTGGTGGACACCCCCGACAGGCCCTTGATCTTGCCGCAGAAGATGGCGGGCACGGCGTCCTTGACAGAGACGATGACTTTGGCTGTCTGAGAGGTGCTGACGATCTCAATGTTGTTGCCACCGGCCTTGGGTTCGCAGGCCGCCCTCCCGGCTGGTTCCACCAACCACTTCTGTGGCGGCCGCAGGAGCTCACCTGGCCCCGGCCCCACCACCCTGCCCTCCGCCTTGCCTGCAGCCTCCGGCGCTTTGGAAGGGGCGAAGGGGGTGGCCGGCTTGTCCTGCGGGCTGCCCTCGGCACTGGGCCCACTGCCGGCCGTCTCCCCATGGGGACCCCCTGGCTTGCGGCACGAGGAGAGCGACAGGTCCAGTGCCCCGTCCTCAGGAGATGGCGGTGGCGGGGCAGCCTCGCAGGCCCGAGCCATGGGCGGGCTCTTCATGGAGAGGTCCAGCGCCTCGTTCTCGCTGCCCATCTTGATGACAGTGTGGCGGTTTAGCTGGGAGAAGTCCCGCTGGTGGACGAGGTCAAAGGGCTTCGTCTCCTCCTTCTCCAGAGGGGTCTGGGTGCCCTTGCAGGGCTGCGGGGTGAAGAGTGGGGGCTTGGGTGGGTCGGGGGTCACCTTGGCTTCAGCACCATGGGGCATGGGGATGGGGACAGGGATGGGAATGGGCACGGGGACGGGCAGGGGCACGATGACAGGGTAGGGCACCAGCAGCGTGGCAGGGGGCACCAGCGGGGAGAGGGGTGAGCTGAAGGCCTGGGGTGGGAGGGCAGCATAGTCAGGAGGGGGCTGGCAGGGGGCCGAGCCCAGGGCGCCCTGCCCTGAGGGGAAGAGGTCCTGCAGGACTGCGGCGAAACCCGGTGTCTGAAAGACAGGCGGCAGCACGGGCTCCTGGCCTGGGCCCGACGGTTTGGGGTCCAGGAGCTGGGGCTGGCTGACAGGGGCAGAGGCGCCTGGGAAAAGACCACCATGCAGGGGGCTGGCAGGGCAGGCAGTGCCGGGGGGCAGCACCAAGGGCGAGTTGAGGTGCTGGAAAACATGCTGCTCCAGTAGGACTGGTAGTGGGATGGGGCCCTGCGTGGTCATGACGTACGGGGTGGCACCACTGGCCGGCATCTGCGGGGCGGCACTGCCGGCCACCTGCAGGTGGATAGGCAGGACAACGGGGCTGTCCCCCAGGCAGATGGGCTGCAGCACAGTGGCCGCCACCTTCAGTGCCACCCCGCTCTGTGATTCAGCCGGCGGTGTCAGGATGGAGGGAGCAGGGACGGTCACCAGCGGGGACAGGGCCTTCTTCATCAGGTCAGCTGAATTGATGTTCCAGGCCTCCGCTGTGATCAGCTGGGCCACGCCGTTCTCCAGCTTGTTGTTGGCCATGGCCGCCGGTGGGCTGGTGACATCCATGGGCAGGTTGGGAGTCTCCTTGTAGAGCTCCTCCATCTCGCAGGGCTTTGGGGCTCCGCAGCGCCACGCTCACATCGCCGTCAGCAGGATGGGGCTGCCAGGGGCTCCGGCACCGACATCGCTTGGCCTGCAATGCAGAGACGTGGTTTAGGCACTGCATAAATCTCCTCCTTAACAAAACATTTGCGACTGCCTTGAAAGACCCTGTCGCCAAAACAAGCCCTTGAACGTTTCCACGTTTCAGGATAACGGCTCCACAACTCATAGCGGTAATGTACACAGTGATGCTGTATACACAGACGTCCGTGAGTGCTGTACGAACAGTTTTGAGGAACTTATATTTAGCCGTAAACACAGATAATTTAAAGGACCTGAAGGCTGCCTGCAGTCAAAAAAACCCCTCCCGTACGCCAGCCAACCCAAGGGCTTGGGCAGCCCCTTCTGCTGCTTTAAAACAAAGCTCTGCATAATGACAGTGTATGGCAGGGCCCAGAGACAGTGCACTGCTTTAACTCAGCAGGAGCACAAAACCAAATGTTTCTAAATATACACGGCTCAGAAATGTTCCACCGCGGCAGGGTCCTCGGTTCCCCTACAAGAGCTGTTATATTTTCCCCCCATGAGGTTTTACTTAAGTGGGTCAGGCCATTGGTGCAGCAGCACCTCTGACACAGCCTGTCAGGGGTCCAGAGGAAGCCATGAGGATGATCAGAGTGCAGGAGTACCTCTCCTACGAAGAAAGGTTGAAGAAGTTGGGCTTGTTCATCCTGGAGAAGACTGCGGGGAGACCTCATTGTGGCTTTCCAGAACTTGAGGGGAGCTTATAAACAGGAGGGAGACTGAGTTTTTACAAGGGCAAATATCTTAGACGTTTATGATAGAATCATAAATGTCAGAAAACACCACTAAGACCATCTAGTCCAACTGTCAGCCCATCACCACTATGCCTCTAAAAATCACATCCCTCAGTGCCACATGTACATGTTTCTTGAAGACCTCAAGGGACAGAAATCCTTCACTCAGAGGGCGGTGAGGTGCTGGCATAGCTGCCAGAGAAGCTGTGGTGCTCCATTCCTGAAGGCACTCAAGGCCAGGTTGTAGGGGGCCCTGAGCCGGTGGGGGGCAGCCCTGCCCATGGCAGGGGTTGGGGCTGGACGGGCTTTAGGGTCCTCTCCAACCCGTTCCGTGGTTCTGATTCAAATTTACTTTAGCAGCCTGTGTCTTTATCTAAACCAAGCAAATGTCAACAAAAAAAGGACAGAGATTGTTTCTGTTCATGGTGACAGTGAAATCTGCAACCTATTTCCTACAAAGATTAACACTCTGCTCCCCCCATGCTCCCTGCAAAGCAGCGTATTAATGGCGCTGTGCCTTCATTTATTCAGAAGGGTAAATAATTTCCGCCCGCAGATTTTGCCATGCTGCCCGTGCCACTCCTGAAGTGAGCAGCGCATCCTGCGGTAATAATCACCATGGAAACTTGTCCATTTTTAACTCTGTTACCATGGGGAAGCACCGGAGCACCCCAGATTTACATTCCTCACCTGCGCACCGCTGCACGCTGTTACCCAAGAGCAGACCGCGCACCATCACCACCGCTCCGCATCCTTGGCCCGCAGCAGCCACACGCAGACCCTAAGCCTGTTTTGGGTACGCGAGCTGATGTTGGACTTGATGATCTTAGTGGTCTTTTCCAACTTCAATGTTCCCATGGTTGTACGGATGGCCCGGCTGCTCACAGCGCTGCCCTGCTCGCATGGACGGCTGCGGGAGCAGCACCGTCACCTGCCAGCTCAGCGCAGACAGACGCAAAAACCGACCCCGAACAAAGGGCAAACCACGGCCAAGGCAGGGAAACGGGAAACCAGAGCATCCCTCCCGAGGCCTGTAAATCCCAGGGTTTGGCAGCACTGTGTCACGGCCAGAGCAGGACTACAGCAATGTCGGGAGTTAATAGCTGGGGCCGGGCGAGAGAAATACCGATCGTGTATCATCGGGCACATCTGATTTTTAAAGAGGATTTTTAAAAGTAAACAGATGAGTCATTCCTTCTCCCCCGCTGCTGCTGGCTGAGGGAGAATAATTCATGATTCTTCTCATCTCGTGAAACGTTGAGAGGAAAACACGACTGCGGGGTTGAGGGGTTCTGTTTGTTTCCTCACTCAGCACTGGCTGCAGGCAGAGATTCCCCGAGCACGAGAAAGCAGGAGAGAAATAATGCTGATGATTCAGATAGCGAGGAGCAGCGGCACCAAAACAAGCAGGCTCATCTTGTTGAGGAATTAAAAAGAGGTTTTATACTTCTCACATCATCTCCCTCCTTATAAAAGAGCCATTCAACACTCCCTCAGGCCTGCAGCCCAGCCCCGCACCCCTGCTGCCCTCCATTCGGCGGCACTGAGGAGCACTGCAGACAGACCAGGACTTCTGCTCTGCCGTTTGTTTGCAAAGCGTGAGATGATCTCTGCGTTTCCACAGCAAACGAGTAATCTGGTGGGGATGGGAAAAATGACCTTCTATTCCCCTGCTAAAGCCATTTAGCATTGAGAAATAGAAAAATTAAGATGAAAATTATGCTGCGTAAATGCCTTGAGGGATTAGCATGCTGCACAGACCCACAGAGAGAGACAGATAACTGTGCAGGAGGAAAGTCTGAAGCATCATAAAATCCCCCACTGCTGCTTTAGAAAGCGACAGGGCAGAGGAAGTATCTAGACAAGGGAAAAAAGAGCTCATCTATCACCATCAGGCACCTGGAAGAAATGCCTGCTTCTGCTTTGGGGATTTTAAGGCACAGTCAAATGCCGTTCCAAGCTGCATTCCGTGTGTCCCTGAGGTGGAGGAACCCAGCGATGCCAGCAGCACCTGGGTGGCAAGGCACAACTCTCAAGGCCAGGCTGGATGAGGGCCGGGCAGCCTGAGCTGATGTGGGGGAGCCCTGCCCATAGCAGGGGTTGGGGCTGGGTGGGCTTTGAGGTCCCTTCCAACCTGAGTCATTCTATGAATCTATGTCTCCATGGAGAGGACTTACACTAAACTGCATTCTCCAACATTGCTACTAACAGTGAAAGCTTTACTACATTTCTCTTTTAATAAAGAATAACCTGAAGTATGCACTGCTGTTACTTTGAGGACTGCTGCTTCTCAACACATAGTGAGAGCTGCCTGGCTTTTAAAGCCAGTCCCATGTACCTGATAAGCAAGAAGGAAGGCAGTGCAACTCAGCAAAACCGCCTTAAGGTTCCTCTTTCTGCCTTACCCTGGTGCCAGAAAATCAATTAATTTCACTTTCCCTACTTATCTATTTAATATTTAATTTGCTGTTTGTTTTAATTGAAAATAAGCTTACAACACTGAAAAGAAAGCTATTGTAAATAACTTGGGTTTTCCCACTGGGGCGCTGATAAGAGTTAAGTTCATGGCACTAAGCAATGATGTGTGCAGCTCTACAGGAAATGATACGTTAGCTGTGCAGAAATGCCATTATGAAGGCGGTGATAACTCCGGCCTGCTTGCTGATCCCCTGCCCATGTCAGCTTTTCCCAGGGCTGTGGGTGCTCGCTGTGGGACCAGCCATGCCACGCATGCAATTGCAGGCAGCCAAAGCCCGCCCCATCTTTCTGCATCCTTCTGCAGTAGATAAGGCAGAGGGCGACCGGGGCACGCACTGACACCCAGCAGTGAGCCGTGAATCGCCTTGCATCCTGCGACGACTGTGCTGTGTTGTTACAGCCGCACGCACATAAAGGCTTTCCATGTCGTTACTAAGGGTGTTGCTGGAATAGAAAAGAAGTATTTGGAGGAAGCGAGCTTTCACATGGAGGTATTAACGTGCCAGTAGCTCTCCTGTACATATAAACCACAGATGGAGCGTGTCCAGAGGAGGGCCACAAAAAATGATCCAAGGCATGGAACCCACAGCACATCCCAATCCCGGCTGTCTCAAAACTGTTGCAGCAGAAGAGCTTTGCTGCTGGGAACAAACCCTGCCCAGATGGGCTCTATTTTACCCCTCAGAGCAGCACGGCAATGCCCACGCAGCAGCAGCAGGTTGCTCAGCTTGCACTGAGCTGGACACGCGCTCAGAGCCCCAGACAGCATATGGAAAGCTGATGTATTGAACCTGACATGCGAAGGACAAATATAAATTTGCCAGCCATAATTACTGCTGAGTCACGTGCCGCAGAGTTTGGCGACATCCCTGCAACCTCACTGCAGTTTTCACGCTCCAAATTCCTGTTCAGACCAGGGAACACGAGGCCCTGCTCCTGCGACCGAGGGAACATTCACCTGCATCACTTCTTTGGGACAGGGGCACTGGAGGCTGCTGCACTGCCTTGGGTAACCCACAGGGATGTAGAAACGACAGCAGGTGGGGGCCTAAGAAATCCCCCATGAAAGTGATGGAGGGAAAAACTGGATGTACTCAGGGGATGGATGTCTCTTGTGCCAGAGCTCCTGGGATCCACCACTCCTTGAACCACACGCTTCAACACACGCACTGTGCCCACGTGTTTGATTCTGGAGCGAGACAGTAGGAAGGATGCAGACTTACAATGGCATTAAAAGGCTTCTTAGGCTTGAAAAGCAAACGGCATGATTTTCCTATGGGAAAAAATATTTTAAACAATTTTTCCTGTCATTAAACATCCCATCTAACTGATTATTTAGTATTGTTTTCAATCAAAACATTCTATTTGCCAGCGAAGCAAAGAAAAATGAGCTGCTTGAGAGCAGAGAGCTAAACAAAACAAATGAGAGCTGTGACTTTACAGTAAATTTTTTAAAACACGCATTTTGTTTTCCCAGCAATCGATACCCCAATGATAACAAGAGGAAAAGGATATCAATTAAATGTAATTGCCAGTCCCGCTTCCCCCAAAACCCACAACAAAAAGCACTCAGCGTCAGCCTGATAAAATATTTGCTCCTTTCCCAGTCGAGAGCTTTATTAAACAGTCCTTAAAGCACTGTGTTTCCTACAAAGGGTCTCAGAGTTTGATGTCAGTGACACGACTTCAAAGCCTTGCCAGCTCCTCGGCAGAGGTTTGTTCCCAGCTCAGCAACCCTCAGCTCGCTCTTTCCTCCCAACCCACTCCCCCGACCCCAGGCTCACACACTCTCCCTGCATTCCCTTGATCTTTCCAATATCAAGATGAGAATGGGAGGCTGCCCTTCATTGCCTGTCCCTCCTTGCAGACATGACCATGCAGCTCCTGCTTGCAGGGGACAGGGATCCATCACACCAGTCACCCTGCTCAGCTGGCCAGGTCAAGTTAAAATCCATCTGTGAACCGCTACAACCATTCTGCAGGTGAAACACCTGACTTTGCCCCGTTGCACCATGATGGCTTCAACACCTACAGCTGCCTCCCAAACCCTCCCATGGCAGCAAGGAAGAACGAGCAGGAGGCAGGCTGTGATCACAATTCAACATCGTCATGGCCAGAATCACTAATTCTCCCAGATTTCACAACCTCTGACTGTCCCAACGTACATCCTGCCTTCCATAAGTAAAGAATCAGCAGCAATGCAGCACCATGTTAAAAAAATCAAACTTTCCTGCACACCAACCCTTTCTAGTGATGCACACATGTTCCTAAGATGGTAAGAAAGAATGTGCCCATGACCGACTACAGGTATTGATGCCATCCAACAGCCAAAATGGGTGGGCCAAAACGGCAGCTCCCAGGTGCAGCTTTGATGGGCTTACCAGCAGCACAAATGTTGTTGTGCTGGACAGGAAAGGGTACAGCCTCCAGGCTCTGCACGCCAGAAGGAGAGCACCAGAAAGTTCCCAATGAATGCAGTAGCAATGACGAGACCTGGAGCTGGAGAGCTCTAGGATGGAACACTTCCATAGTGAGGACATGCTGAGAGAGCTGGGGCTGTTCAGCTTGGAGAAGAGGCGGCTTCAGTGGGACCTGATAGCGGCCTTTCAGTATCTAAAGGGAGACTGTAAGAAGGAAGGGGACAGACGCCTTACCTGTCTGGAGAGCAAAAGACAATTATTTAACATTGCATTCCTCCCCACCAACTCAAATATCCTCCCTCAGCTCGCCAGTTCCAGATCAATTTTTATACTTGTAGCTCCAGATTTACTGGACTTACTCTCCCTCTCTGACACGTCATCACGTCAGTACACCAAACCCAACATTTCGTCAGCCACTTGACGGCACTAAACCTCACGCAGACAGCACGCCCACACCAGGTTTCAAACGCCACCCTATCCAAAGCTGTGTGGATGGAAAAGCTTCCAAGAAAAAATATCCCCTTCTTTTCATCTTTGCAAATCTGTAAGCAGCTGCAGGCATTTTGTTTAGAAGAGCCAGAAAAGCACGGGGTTCCTGCGATGTGAGAAAAAATGCAGTGTTTTTTTTAAATCTCCGTTTCACAGCCGTTTACACACCGCTTTCCATCCCATCGGCTGCACCGAGCCTTTCCTGCTCACAAGGATCCAGGCAACACAAACCTATTTTGCAGACGCGTCTTGCAGGAGGAAACAAGATCAGCACTGCCCACGTTCTTCCATCAAATCTTAGAAGAGCGGTACATCATCACGAACGCAGTACAGCAAATTTTGTGCTCATCACTTCCCCCATCTTAACGATGGCTGCCTGGTACCAGAATAGAAGCGAGCTGCCACGGGATGCGGAGCCCCTGACATATTTACTGCAACATTTGTCACCAGCCATCTCCATCACGACGTGCACTACTACGTGTGCTGAAAAACTTACGGAAGCGGCGGGACACGGAACGGCAATTACATCTTTCCCAGATGAGACTGCTGCATTAATGGACCAGCGTAATCCATCATCATTGACTGTAAGTCCCCTGGGGCACGTCACCGGGCCACTCCAGCAAACCTGGAGGGGAGGTCTGGCGTCCGGCTGTGCTGCCCAGCCTCAGAGACCTGCAGGGGTATGTGTGGCTGTGCACTGACGGCTCAGCTCTCCCAGGGAGGTGGGAGAATGGGCAAATCCCTGCACGAAAACACCAGTGGGAAGAGCTTCGCTCTCATGTTGTCACATTTTCAGCTAGAAATGAATCACTGTGCATACACACAGTAAAGGACAAAAGCTGGCTCTGCAGTGTCATTCATTTAACTACAAATAAGAGGAAATAAAATAGAACGATGAACAAAACATCTTAAAAAAAAGAAAAAAATACCTGCAAGCACACTGGAGCAAATGTTGGGGGTTTTTTTGCTGCCTGTCTTCTTGATCTTGTAGCAACACACCTTCATGGGCTCTTCCTTTGGGGACACCAAGCAAACCACAAACACATAAGAATGTCCATGCTCCTGCTCAGCAAGACATGGCCTGTGGCATCTCCCTAGGTCTAGGACAAGCCCCACACCAGCAACCAGCTGTAGGCACTGGGATGGCAGTGACAAAATGGAGCGTTCCCTGGTTCCCCCAGAGGAACAGTAATGGGGCACCAGACCCAAGCTGTTTGGGTCTGGCTGTCTAAACAGGCACTGAGGGATTAGGTCCCATTGCATCTTTTGCGCTAATTAAAGCCTGTTTATTATCTGATTGTCCCCAATAGTATATATTTCTTCCTTGTGTAAACACAGCTGACGCTGCTGTCTGAAAATTCACAAGGACTGAAGAAGTGGTAACATCCACGTTCGGGTAAGTTATAGGGTGTGAGAGATGCCCAGCAGGCCTCCCTGCCAGCATGTGGGCACTGGCGGGGTCTGTGTGGCCAACTAGCATGCCATGCCACCAGCAGCCATTCTGATGCCGTCTCTATCACCTGCTCTGGCAGAAAGCATGCAAAATGCACATCTGAAACCACGGGTAGCATCCCACCAGGCAATGCTAAACCACAGTTTTTTGGGTCACGGAATAGGTTGACTCAAATCTAGGCCAACAAGGTACTTTGGCAACATCCATGTCTTGAACCAGACCATGGAGAAGTCTTGATGTCCACATCTTGATCCAGTCCGCTGACAAGTCTTGATGTCTGCATCTCAATCCAGTCCATGGAGAAGTCTTGACGTCCCCGTCTTGATCCAGGCCGTGCCTATGGGCACGCAGTGGGCCTGTCTGGGCCCCAGCCCTTACATGAAACACTACTGTCACTACGAGCTCAGGCACTGAAAGGCAAAGCACTGCAGACTCTCTGCAGCCACATCCATAAATAAGCAATTATCCTCCGTTTTCCTCAAAGCCGCTGTTGTTGCACTGCAAAAGAACGGACGCAGAAGGGAAAAGTAATTTTTTCACAGGCCTCCTCCTAACTTTGAAGCATCGGATGCCAAACCAAGTAACACTCTTTTCATGCAGATTTGCGCATCTAATTTAAAAGAATTAAATTAGTCTATGAATCTGCTTTTAATGATACGAAGCTACATGTTACCCTTGTAAATTTATAGAACTAGCTTAGACTTCCTCTCACTGTGTCTTACAAAGGCAACATACTGTAGTTTCAGCAGTTGAATTTTTAAATGTGTTTATCTGGGTCACTGCTACTTACAGCGTAAGAAGATTTAGTGAATCCAGTTTAGCATCAGTCTAATGCAAAAGAAAAAAAAATCTTTAATTAAAACCAAAAGATTTACAGTGTTTGGTGAGTAAAAATCTGAACATAATCAAATAAAAATCTTTTGACTCAAGAGGAGAGCAGACCTCCTCACGATGCAATTAAAGTGAGTCTTGGAGTTTCGTGTTGATTTTTTTTTTTGTCTGTCAGAATTTTTTTTGTTTAACTGGCTATTTCAGGTAAAAAAAAGAAAGCTGAAAGCACTGTGGCATTAGGAGGAAATTTCCTCCAATGACATCATTTAAATTCACTAATGAGCGAAGAATGTGAGTGCTGGAGCTAGCAGTGCCCAGCTGACCTACCAGGAGCACAGCTGCATATGTGTGCCCCTCTGCCTAGAGGAGCTGTACTTCTTTGCCAAGCAGTGGTCATGAGGGAAGGTGGTAGAGAAGAAAATCTGTTGTGGTAGCACTGCTCCCCAGCCTTTCCAAAAGGATACAAGAGCAATCAGGGGATATTCTGAAAGCAGGAGAAGCACACAGTGTTTGTACATTTCTAGCTGACGTAGCTTTTCTTTCATGCTTATCATCACCAGAAGAAACTAAGATGTTGTTTCAGAAAAGACAAGCAACCATTCACACAGGAAGTGAGGTGGGAGGCTGAAAGGTCACTGAGAAGAAAGCCTGCAAATGTCCATGTGATGTGAGATGACATCTCCCAACATCACGCCGCTTGCCGGGTGACACGGATGTGACTCAGAAGATGAGTGCACCTCAAAGACTTGCCGGAGGTCTGCAGTGGCAGGGGGATGGCAGCAAACAGAAAGTGTCCGCTCTGCATTCTCTGGCCTCTGCTGGAGCCTTTCAATGCCTGCCCAGAGGCGGCCCCATGGCTCCCAGGAAAGCTCTACACCTGCCCTACATTTCACAGGGCATTGGTGCAACAGACACACAAGACAGCAGAAGCCGCACCACTGGGACCTGCAGCCTGCTGCTCCCCAGCTTCCAACAGCAGCACAGGGAAGAAAGGGAACAGCATGGAGTCAGGAGTTTGATCCTGTTATTGATTTGATGCTAAGAAGGAGTGCAGGAAATAACTAACTACAAAGCATTTCCCATCTCAAAAACTGGGAGGACAACGGACCTTCTTCAGATTATTGGGGGGAAAAGAAGCCAAAAATTCTCGGTGTCCCAATCCTATTCTTTATTTTCTTTTCAACCACAGTGGTGGCTTTTTTCCCTCTAGTACCCCATATATCTCTCCATTGCTGACAGACAGCACCTCAGCCCTGCACTGGACTTAGTGATGCAGTTGCTCCCTGGCCTTCCTCCTGCACCCTCTGTTGTGCTGCTGCAGCAGCCATCTTCCCACCAGTGAGGGCAGCTGCAGACCGAGACACTGAGATAGGAGAAGATGCCGTATCTGGCCCTTCGCTAGAGGGGATTTGTTTTATCTTACTGGCTTTAGAGATTTATCACTTCCTTTACCTTCCTCCATACGCACAGTGAAGAAATCTGCTTTAAACATGCGATAAGCACAGTTCCCACTGCAGAGTAAATCTGGGGACTAAAATACAGAAAAAAAAAAAAGCTATTTTAATGCCAGAGATGACCGGCACGTTGAGCACAGCACAACTGTCTGCACGCAACTGTTGTTCAGCACCTTTATTATTCAGATGACCTGAAATCACCTGTATCTGTGCCTGTACCAGAGAGATAAGACCATTTTCTCCTCAAGAACCTCAGAACTCTGCTGCTGATCTTGAGGGAAATACACGTTCAGCTCTACTATTAAGGCCCACAGGTCGTAAAACTCCACCTGCAACTTGGAGGGATGTTTGTGGAACAGCTTCAGAGACACGTAAGAAGGGCTGCAGGAGCTGCCTGGCAGACAGGGCCACCAGGCCCATGGAGGTGAGGAGCACAACCCAGAAAAGTGAGAGAAGGGGCATAAGGAGAGGGAAGGGTAGAAGAAGCAGAGCTCCTGACATCTGTATTGCAGAACTGTGAGGACTTCTGGGTTGTCTCCAGATCAAAGGACCACTTGATAGCAGTCACTGAACACCTTTTGGCAGAACAGCACCACTCATCTCATACTTCGCACACCAATGCAAGAAAGTCCACTCCACTGACATTCATGATTTATCTCCCAGAATGGCTGAAATGGAAGGAAATGGTAGAACACGGAGATCTGGCACTAAAAGGGAGAGTGGCAATCCTAGCTCTGGGGGTGCGTGGTGCCTGCTGCAAAAAGTGAGATGCACAATGCGCAGAGAGATCCAGGCAGGAAAAAAAACAGGAAAAAATGCATGATGGTGGTAGGGAAGATGAAGAGAGGAATTGAGGGAAAAGCCTAGTGCAAGGCAGAAGATGAATGATACTGCAGAGAGGAAGTGAAACCAAGAGAGGGTACAACTGTGCATGTTAGGGAACAGTGTGAGAAAGAATGGTTGCAACCCCTTAGCTTGTGAAAACAAGACTCAGAGAGGGATGTCTACTGTCTTTCTAAAAGAGCTGCCAAAGATGGATGGGAAATATCTCCAACCGCAACTGAGGAAGTGATGCATTTCTCTAACTTTGAAAGTTGGAGAAAAATCGTGGCGCCTTGGCTGCACCACAAAAAGCCAGGTCATGCAAGCAGGCTTCCTTGGGCAGAGCCGTGCTCTCTTCTGCAGCCCTCCAAAGGCTTCCCAAGGGCTGGTGTGAAGGCCTGAGCAGCCCGAAGGCAGTGGCCAGCCAGTGGAAGCAAGCGTCTGTAAAGAGCACCAGGGCGCTTCCACAGTGTGATCTGCACAACTGCTGCCCTCTGAAACAACAGGAGGCTGCGCTGAGTGAAAATACATCGAGGACAATATTTAAGACTCCTGAAGTAGACCTTTCAGTCTGTAGTCACTTCCACATACCAATCCCCTTGGCACCTTCTCTTCTGGAAGGAAAGAATGTTGCTCTGGAGCCACTCTTGCACAACAAACTATCTTGAGATGGCTGAAAACCAACTTTAAATGCATGGTGTCATTTACGAAGCCATTAAAATTCTTATCGTTGCCTTGAAGCCAGAAATTCATGTGGCCTGCATAAACCCACTTTGCGCTTCAAATTCTCAAAATCAGCAAAACAGCAAAAATCATTAGAAAATGTATGTTACACTGGGGCCAGTAAGCACTAGGAAGAATGTCCCATTCTTTACAACAAACAGTTACCATGATTTAACAGAAAGCCTGCAATCTGAGAGATAAAGTAACTAAATAAAATGGAATCTAAAAAGCATTGAAATATATTCTAAGGCCAAAATTAGCATGAAGCTGAAAAAGCCAAAGAAAAGTCAATACTACTTTTCAGTTTTATTACTTTAATTCAATAAAATTCTTTGGATACTGTTGCATGCTTGGTGCAACCATAGAAATCCGAATGGCAAACACTGTACTGTACTGCGACTCATGGACTGAAAGGCTGTCTTCATTTCATTGGTCAGGTAAATATAACAGTGCAAACAACTCCTCTGGGCAAACTATTTCTAAACTGCTATATCAATATTCGGATAATCAAAATTGATATTCACCTTCGATGGGAATACAACATACGTGCACAAACACACACATCCCCTTTCTCCACACCTTTTGGATCACAGGAACACAGCCTGTGGGAGATGCTGCTTTATCCCAGATCAAGACCTCTGCACTCACAAGATGTTTAGTTCCTTATGCTGGATGCATTTCTGCTAATGGCACCTCCTCATCTCGCTAAAATAAATGCTTGCAGAAATATTCATCAGAGGTTCAGTTCAACCACTCATTGTTCCACTTCAGGTTGCCATGACACAGATGATGGAGAAATGCTGAAGCCCTAGAAAAATTCAGCCCAACCTTAACTCTATTTTTATTACTTACTTCTCTATTTTTTTAAGTAAAGTGAAGTAAATTGTTCAACTAGCTCCGCTTTTCACTCACAGCTTCACTTCATAGGCTCTGCAACAGAAGTACAAATCAGCACACTGCAGACTTCAGGAGTCAGTGCTCATACACTGCTATTGACAGCAAGACAAGAAGCAGGCAGGAAAGCAAGGAATGCCAGCCTGTACCAGCCCTCAGGAACCAGAGAGCCCACAGCATGGCCTGGCATGGACGCTACAGCTGCTCCATCCCCAGCACCATGAGTGCCAAGATAGTGGTAGTAGGATCCTGTGTGACTGACCTGGTCAGCCTTACAACGCAACTGCTGAGTATCCTTGGATTAAAGTTTTTCACGGTGGGAAAGGAGCCAATCAATACATCCAGTCTGCTCAACCTGGGGCCCAGACCTCACTAATGTACAAGGTTGGGAAGGATTGATTCCTGCGGCAGTGATTAAGTCGCAAAGTTGAAGAACGGCATTTCTGCAGCTTTTGTAGGTCAGATAACAAATGCTGTCGCCAGAACCGCTTCAATAATTGTCAACAGTGAAGGACAGAATGTTATTGGCATAAAGGAGAGCAAGGCAGAGACAAGGAGGCAAGACAGCCAAAAGGGGGCAGGGACCTCCCCTTCCTTCATCTGCCAGGCCCCTGCTACAAGTCGGAGCCGGGTGTCCCTGCTGGCTCCCACGAACCCCTCTTGGCCTTCCCAGCAGTACCACGGTGCCCATGGGCACAGTCATGCAGAAGAACTTGGAAGAGCATTACGACAAATGCAGCTCCGAGGATGTGCACCCGTGCTCTGCAGCAGGCAAAAAACTTGGAGCGTTTCATGCTGTGATAAATAAAGCAGGCGACAGCCCTGTTCTGAAAAAAGCTGCAGGAGCTTATGGGTGAGCCTCTACCTTGTCCTCTTCGATCACTGTCATCACAAACAACAACCAGCTCTTATCAGCAGAGACATCTCTGCTGGGAACAAGTGACTTCAGGACACGGTGTCCTTCCCCAGTCCCTTGAACCCTCGAGACAATTTACAGCACTGTCACTTGTACACACTCCCTTCTCACGAGCCCCGTCCATTCCTCTAAATTTAGCATTTTGATTTTTAAATAAATGTCCTCTACTGCTCTTGTGAGACCTTGATGATAAGCCATTTTATTGATATTCCAGTTCACTTTTCAAAATATTTTCAGATTATAGGATAAGTAGTGTCTGCTTTTATCCTTTCTTTGGGAGATAACACTTCGGTAACTTAAATTACCCGGATGAAAATTTATTGGTTAGCACTGGGGGAAGCAGATCCTTTACAAAATCAGCCTTTGATTCAGTTAGTCTTTCCTAAACAAGCAATGACTTAAAAAATACTCAGCAGATAAAAGATGTCTGCAGTTCCGGCCTCAACTTGCACGAATATTAAAAGGTATAAGGGTAACAAAACTGCATCATCTATATTTTACAGCATAATATTCATTATATATTTACAGAGGATGAAAAACTACTAAAAACTTCCCTAATGAAATGTCAAAGCCAACTAGCTTCACTAAAGCTAATCCTCAAATCTTGATGACAGCGCAGATTACCCAGCCTGCTAAACTGGCAAGCATCCAAGGCAGCTCATCTCCCGGGGATTACACCTCCATTTAGGGTTGCTGTAGTTTGAATTATTTGGAAGAACCCCAGAGGAAACAAGTTGCAGCTCATATTATTTGTTCTCGGGCATTTCAGTGCACGACCCGGTCTTAAAACATCAAGCAACAACAGCACGCACACGTGCAGAGCTCCAAATATCAGTGGTACTGTGTGATGGCCAACCACCAACATGTCAGAGCTGCCGACAGCTGCTGCAATATAAACTTCCTAAGGACCTTGCGGTTCGGGGAAGAAATCCCTCGCTCTTCATCCGCCCTGCCCTTGTGCTCGGATCTGAAGCCCACTCAAGATGGAAGATTGTTTATTTCTCACAGGGCTATCTATAGAAGACTCTTTTCGTAACTGTGCAGCTCCTGAGCGTCAGCCCAGCAAATCACAACATTTTATTGTAATTTCATGTTGTTTACTTTCGCGAGGCAGGATCTTGGCAGAGACAAGCGTTTCCTCCAGGGACGAAAAGGATGAGGGTGGGAGGGGGGAAAAGGACAGAGGGATGGAAGGAAGCACCTTAACACACACTTCCCCGGGGTCTGTTTTAATAGCAATGCTGGCCCAAACACAAAGGACAGGGGTAGCCACACAGACCTTTCATCCTGGCGGAGCCCTTGGGTGAGCATCCCACAGTTGACGATCCTCTGCCTCGCTGCCAGCCCGGCCTTTCTTCCTTACTGCTCTGCTGTGTCCCCGAGGAAGAAGGAGGTGGAGGAGGAGAGCTTCTATGCTGTCTGTCGGAGACAAACACCAGCACCAGCGACTCCACACATGCGGGTTCTTCTCTGCTTGGTTTCCAGGGAGATTTGACTCATCATGTTCGAATGTTTGGGTTAGCAGTATTTCAGCTGACGGGAGTATTTGAAAGCTCTGGGTGGGGGGAATATGGTGTCTGTATTTCAAGGTGCTACGCTCACATCTCCCACATTTACCTGCTTTCAGATCTTCTCAGCTGCTGCTGAAGCTGTGGTTCTCCATGGGGAAGGCAGCCGTGGCTCCATGCCAGGTTAGACAGCAGCAAGTTTGCTCCCTCCCCCTCTACCTCTTTAGGTAGAGAACGTGGCTCACAAAGACCCCTGCACACACTCACCCCAGCAGCAACTGCCTCGCTGCATAAGATGATTCACTGATGTTTAAGAATCATGCCGACGGGAGCCCTCTCTCATTTTATTACCAACTTTCCACAAAGACACCGAGGCTGAAGATAGCTAATGCTATGTCTGGCATTAGCTCCCTGTGAATATCTTTCAGCAATAACAACTGATAGCGAAGCCTGGAGACTACACATTGCTCTCCTGTTTGTACATAAATTCCCTCTAAAAGGATTTCAGCACCCTCACATGGATTCTACCCGAGCTCTTAAAGTCAAGTCAGGCAGACAGAATGGTGCCACGCAACTACAAACAACACGGGACAATTCTTTATTACAATATACCACGCTATTATTCCTAAAAGCACTGACAGCAATATGTGGCGCATAAAAATACACATTCATCACAAAGAGGTTAGATTCTAATTCCTGCAGCTTAATTTTTTCTTAAGGGCCCCAGCCCATTTTTCAATTAAGGCAGGATAATATTATTAATCATAAAAAACTGCTGATGTGTAAAATTGTTTCCTTTCTAGATAGCATTGCCTGAGAAACATCACACACGATGCCTCTGACTTATCCCAAGGTGGTGGCAATGGGGGAGATGCAGCACCCTTCACAATGAGGGCTTGGCAGGTAATGGGCAGAGCCTGCCCTGTTTCCTTAGTGGGTGCCCACTGGGCACAGCAGAAGCAGCCAAACAAGGAGACAACCCCTGGCAGCTTCAGGGGAACGCTGGGACCGCCGGACCTACACCTCCTACCTCTGATGGGTGCTCTCCCTCCCACCAACTGCTAGTCTGCATGTCAAATCATACAAATTCATCAAATATCCCAAGTTGAAAGAGACCTGTAAAGATCACAGAGTCCAACCCCTGGCTCACCACAGGCCCACCCAAAATTAAACTCTGACTGAGAGCTTTGTCCAGACTCTCCCTGAACTTGGGGCCATGTCCACTGCCCTGGAGAGCCAATCTCCCCAGTGCCAGAGTCCTCCTTCTGTTTTTCCCCCAACACGATCAGCTCTTCAGTGCTATTCCTGGTTAGCTGTAGCTTTATGCCAGTAGTTTTCTCCATCACCAAATACTCCATCTTATTAATTGCTGAACAGGAGCAGACTGCATAAAGAGCAAAGGCAAGACAATGAGACCATCTTGTGGGACACCCCACTCTGCAGCTATTCCCCACTGCCAAAAGCAACAACAGGAGCTCTTCACTCTGAAGCCTGCAGAGGCACATCAAACAAATACAAATTGTGAGTTTCAGCCAAAAAATCCTTTTTGACACGAGTCGCTCCTATTCATATGACTAGTCTCATTAAGATCAATGAGAACTGGAAAAAGCAGCAGGACAGACCTTGTGTATGTCTCTTTGCTGAAATGTTCGGCTGTATTCTTCCTTGTGAAAAGGCAAACCAAGCCTGTGCCACCAAAGCAATAAACACAGTGGGATTAATGGTCAGCAGCACACTAGCGTTTCCAACAACGCTATTATTAGTAACTACTCACAGACGGTAATTGTTCCAAACAACTGAGCTGCCAGACAGGTTTTCATACTATACATACATTCATATTTATATAAAAAGAATACTACTTCATACAAACCCAAAGTAGGTGAGGCTAAAGATAATGGGCCAGATTTGTTGAGCATCTCACCAATCTAATTAACTGCAATCAAATTCATGGCACAACTCATGGTTCGTTTCATTACTATCAGAAAATTCGATCTCTGAAATCTTACTATATTAAGCTAAAGCAATGATCTTCCTGTTAAAGTTCTTTCTTCTTCCATTTTAAGGTGAGAAAAAGCTATCAGGCCCTGGGAAGGTGGGGGTAGGGACTCCTGGTGGCTCCTACTGAAAGCCTGGCAAACATTCAATCGATTACTCTTACATAAGAAATTAAAAAATAAGCGGCCTTTCAAGCGCATACTGAAACACATTCTGCAGCACAAATCCTACCTCCTGTATCTATTTCTACAACGTGCCTTTTCTTGCTAAGATAAAGTCCATACACACATGCACATCTATATGCATCCACATCCTCACACTTAAAATACAAATCCATCAGGGAGCTATTTCCATCTACTCATTGCTGCAATAACGAATCATCTCATCTCTGTGTCGTACTGAATACGGGAGAGTCGGAGGTTCAAGCAGTATGCCCACACTTACACAAAGACCTTAACGAATCTGCTTTTTTTTCAGTCCATTTTAGAATAAATACTCTTTAACCTTACTGCAAGACCCATAAGGAGAATACTCACTGCAAGCTCTGCCTCCTTTTTATTCTTTCTCTTCGAGGTTTCCAGCTATGTCTCTCTGCAGGAGTCAAGTGTGGTTTTAATAAGGCAGATGAGGCAGGGCTTCTCAACTGCTTTTGATAGAGGTGAGATGGTCAGCTCTTTATTGACTTTCTGCAGTACTGCAGCTACGCACCGTACAGACAATCCTGCTTTATGAGCATGCACCAGACAGGAAACGGGCCTGGAAATTTCCAGTCGGTGTTGTTTGATGCACTGTTTGAAAAGCTGCACGATGTGCATATAAAGGAAATGAAGGAGAGCCTTTGCTGTTGTTGCTGCTAACCCATCGCACTGCAGGCACTAAGTGCAGCAGGCAATGCCTGCGCAGGAGCCATTTTAAGAATTAGCATGTTTCAGCAAAAGAAAGAAAAACGCTGAAGACTGTGTGTGTGCAAGAAAGTACTGCATATCAAAGACCTTTTATAAGGAAAAATAACACTGGAGGTAACTGCCAAAGGATTTTACAGTCCTCTTGCTACATAATCAGGCACAGTGGCATACCCTGTTCACAAGGCACTGCACTGACAGACAGCATCTTCACAAGGGCATGTGGAAAAAGGAAGAAATCACAGCCCTGTACCACGTACCATTAAGGTTTTAGTGATACCAGCACAGAGCAACTGCACCACTAATTAATGGATACTCACAAGCTGCACACATCCTTCCAATCAAGTGGCAATAAAAGCATGTAGTGTTCTTCACCCCCATACATATATTACTTTGGATGTTTACCCTCTTTCCCTTTCTTTTTGGTCTTCTGCATGTCCCCGGTTTCTCACCAGCTCATAACACACCAGCAAAGCAGGTTCCCTCCATGGTCCTTGCACATTCCAAGTCCCCGGCTACAAGCTTATCACATGAGGTTGAGCAACCCTCACAGAGCCCAGTGCCCACAGATACAGGGCCTGGAAGAATGTCCCCCATTGTGCCTCCACGTGGATGTGACAAAAACTTTTAAAATCCCCCTGTGCCTCTTCTATCTCCCTGCGAAAGGGCGAGAACACTCATCTGCCTCCCAGAAGCACAGTGATGGCGAGTAGATCAAAGATAGCAAAGAGGTACAGGTGCTCGGTGATGGCAGACATACAGAAAGCCAGCACAGACATTACAGGAGCATGACATGCACATACCCACATGCATCTGGTGCTGGCTGCATGACGGTACAGAACCAGGCACCAGTTCACACTGCTGGAAATGGCAGCCACAGGAGTGCTAGTGCCAAGCAACCAGGCGAGCACACCTCCTGCAAAAGAGTCGCACCTGGGCATCATGAGATGTGGGGTATTCATCATAATTTCTCTCTCTTGGCAGAGCTCTTGAGGATGATGATAGTAAGGCTACAAATACATGCGTACTCAGGGGTTCAGGGCCCTTCAGCATCAGCCTTACAGCTATTGTGTTACTATACTGTACGAGTTCCTGTTTCAGGAAAGGTTTTAGTACATGCTTAAATGCTACTGACTTCAATAGGACATAAGGATCTCCTTAACTTTCATTATGTGCTTAAGTGTCTTTTCTCTATAGATCTGTTTTCCTGCATGAGAAATTTAATGCATGCTAGCCATTTGTTTTATAGTTACTTGGATAATATGTCTTTCCTTTCCAAGTGCAGTACTGTGCTACTTACATGGCAGGGTGTTATTTGCTACACATGTGTGGCCAGAAAATGGGAAGGCTGGGTTTTCAGTTGGCCACCCGAAGAATCACAAGATCACAGGATGTCTGATGCTGGCAGGCAGCTCAGCATCCATCAGGCCCAGCCCCTGCCCCAGCAGCACACCCAGAGCAGGCTGCCAGGCCTCACTGGCCAGGTGGCTCTTGGAGACCTCCAAGAAGGAGACTGCACAGCCTCTGGGCAGCCTGTGTGCTCCATCACCCAAACATGAACAGAGACAATGCCAGGCTGCTGACTTTGCTGCACACTGCAATGCTGCTATTCGTGTGCTCCCAAATTTTTGCCCACTAAATAAATCACCAGTGGACAGCTACAGCACAGTACTTAAAGGAAGGCATGGAAATGCCAATAACCTACTGCACTGAACTTTATCATCCCGTGTTCTGCATTTATATTTAAAATGCAGCTACAGAGAACAGGCATCTTG